TTGTGTGTTTAATGAGGAAATGATCAGTTGGTGTCCTTGTCATAAAATAGATCATTGTAATAGTTTAGTATTGTTGTTACCATTATTTAAATTGTTGTTGCCTGATTGTTGTCGTTATTGTTGATTGTAAATTGTAATTGTGTTCATGTGTATCGTCGTGGTCCACCGGCTAGGCCAAAAATGCTCCGAGGTAGTACGATAGGTTTGACTGTCCTGGGCCGATCACGGATCATTTTTTTCTGCTAGGGGGCATTTTGTACCGATTTTGTTGTAAAAGGCAACAAATCAATACAGGTTAATGCAAAGAACAGTCAGCTGGTTTCAACAATAGATCAGTATAGACCAGAATGCACCACGCACTAAAGACGGAGAGGGGATAAGGTTTAGCCGGGCGGCCATCTGTTTAAATCAGTACTCAGTCCTTACCCAAGTCTCATCGTAGCTAGTTCGGTAAAATTGTTTATCGTTCGTGGAAATTAAATTCATTTCGCGGCGTTTGGTCGGCCAATCTTAAATTTCCTTAAAGTCGTTCAGCCTATATCCCTAAGGGATATAATTGCCTCGCGATCGGAAATTAGAATCAGTGTTTTTGTCAAAAAGTGCAAAAGTTCGTTACCGGCCAAACGCAGTCCGCCATTTGAAAATTTCTCAAACGATTCACGAGTTCAATTGATCGCGTGTTGTAGTATACCGGCTAGTTACGTTTTCCCATCCTTTCCCCTTTGTGTTATATTTGTGGACGTCCAAACTGTAAGTAATTTTGTGTATTTATTTGTTAAATTGAGATTTTCAGTGAGTCGCACTTTGGTAAATTTTCCCGTCTTGTTTTGTCAATTCATGTAGAATAAGCACATGTTCATAGGTTCGATCACAATTTGTTGATTTTTAAATCCATTCATATTGTTGCAATCCGCTTTATTTATTAGACTGTGATATTTCTATAGTATTAAGAATAAATATATGAAAATGTTTTTATAGGGTAATTCAGAGTTGCTTTGTAATATTTTTATATAGTATTTGAATTTTGCACAGAGTCATTATTAAAAGTACAATTCGTTACAGAGTGTCACAATCAGCATTTTAATTTGGGGGAATCATTTAATATCAAAGGAGGGATTAGGTTGCTGGTTCGGCTGAATCGGGAAGTGTTATCGGAGGCTGTGCCAGTTTGCATATAGACGAACCGCCAAAGTGCCAAATTAGCTATAAAACAATAAGCAACGTTCCAGTAAATATTATTACGATTAAACGCAATACTGTTTAATCAGTTGACCTTCGAGAATCGACCTTCATATTTACATCGTTGGCCAACGAACAGGACTTGTTTAGCACTGGTCGTCTCAAATTAAATTAAATACCACTCCTCCGTTGACACCTTCGAGATCGGTGTGAAACCGCGCCAAATATTCCCCTTTGAATAAATCCGTTCAACATTCTCAGACAGATCAATTCCGTCTGATTGTGTCACTCAAGGTCATATTTTTATATTGCACCACACAATCAGAAACTGTCAAACTGGAATCATTGTAAATCTTAAATAATGCTTAATAAATCAAATTGTACTCACTTTTAGTTCTCAATAACCTGGTAGTTCTTTATTATATGCTATAGTATCAAATTGGTAAACAAAAGGTAATTCAGTAAATAATAGGCCACTACAAAAGATTCACCTTTTAAGTGCAACACTAAACACTAGTGTAGTAGTGAGCAAGTAAATTCGGTGTAGAATTAAGACTGGTAAATTGCTCTCATTAAAGGTATTACTTTTTTGGAAGAACTACAAACAGTGCCAAGGGCGTCCCCTAAGGACCTTTTGGGAATATTTATATTTTGCAGGGCCCACTCATATTTTTTCAATAACATCAAGCTTCCACTGCCAAAAAGCTCTGTCTGATATTTTTATTTTCTGGAGTTCTTCCAACCCAGGGGCAACCAACATTTGTAAAGATTCATTTGAGAGCATTGCAAGGAGCAAATATATTTAAATACAATATTTAAATATATAAAAGTAGTAGGAGGGAGTTGTTTTTATTTTTCTTTACAAATAAATGATATCATCGCGTGATCTCTTGGTACTGTTTGTGTCTGTGCGATTCACTGAAATTGTTTAGATTATAAGAGATTCTATTATTATTGTTATTGTCGTTGTGTATTGTGCTGTAATTAATTGTCAATTGGTTTTTGTCATCGTGGAAAATTCGTTTTGTTAAAGTGAGATATATTATCGTAAATTGAATTATTTTCCTAGCGGGAAAAATGCACCAACAATTTGGGCCTGGGTATAATACAACTGCGAATGACCGACGCGATCGTATGTCAAGGAGAAATTTAGAGGAATTAATCGATTTAAATGCGCCGATACACCAAAACAATGAGCATATTCCACCAAATAATAATGGAGTTAGTTTAGGTAGACAAAATCCCGATTGTCGTTTACCGATCGTAAACGATGACGAACCATCGTCAAATAGACAAAATTCCGCTTGTCGTTTACCGATCGTAAACGATGACGAACCATCGCCAATTAGACAAAATTCTAATAGTTGTTTAATGGACCTAAACAACCACGAATTGACTGAAATGCTATCAAGTACGTCGAATGCAACTCAAGATAACAGTCATGCCAACAGCTCGTCGTACGTGGATATTCAACCTTCAAACGGCGAACGTGCGAGAGAGATGGAGATAGTCACTGCACAACAACGCGCGTCATTTCCTGTAGCGACTGGTTCACTGTCCACTGTTGCCCCGGTCAGTGCCACTGTACACCACCCACACCCACACACTCGACCTCTCACATACACTCACCATGACACACACGTACACGCTCACGCATACAATGTTAGTCAATCACTTACTAAAACCGATCAAATTGTGGTAATTGAACTGATTAATAAATTGAATACAGTCGACGGCACAGATGAACTTGAATTAATTTCATTTCTCAAAAACATCAAACCAATATTTGATATTTCTCCGAATTGTCATACAGAGATCATTAAACTTATTATCCCTAAGGTCAAAGGTCAAATGTTCCAATTGTTTTTAGAAGCAGTATCGAGTAACGCACGCTGGAATGTCTTACATGACGAGATATTACACAGATTTATTCCGTCAATTAGGCGACGAGAGATTGCATCGTTTGAGTTAGATCGACCACAACAACCGAATGAAACTTTTTCAGAATACGTCGATCACATCATATCTATCGCATTCGCTTTAAAATCGTCAATGTCAGAAGGCGAGGTGATTGAGATTGCTTTGACAAAATGTAATCCAACTGTTCGAAGTCATTTTTCGTTCGGTCAAATGCCACAAAGCTTATTTGAGCTAAAATCATTCGCAAATAGAATCACTAGTTCAATGCGTGCCGAAGAGAGATATTTTGGTAATGCAAATCGACGCCCATTGATTAATTCATCGCCTAGGGTTGTGAATCAAACTCGTCACAATCCAATTACGTCGCAAAACGATCTACGTAACAGACCCAGGGAAAGAATTGTAAAATGTTATCGTTGTCAAGGTGAAGGTCATTTCGCTAGGAACTGTAGGGTTTCTTTAAACTAGATTCCGACGTTGTCAAGGGCACACAACGTCGAACTGTAAAGTTATCGCCCAACAAAAGTATGCAAGCAACAGATGTATCCGCGAAACTGCCGCTAATTAAGGTATTGTTTGGCAACAATATAGACTGCCTATCGCTGATAGACACTGGCAGTAGTAGGTCATTGATGAGTAAAACGCTTTTTAATAAGTTGCGAAGTGCTAATTTGATCAAACAGTCAAGTAAAATTAATCAATCAGTAGAAGTCGCGAACCGCCAGAAGATAACTGTGCGGACAGAGGTCAAAGTTCATTTTAAGATAGATAATCTGTCATGGGACTACAACTTCTGGGTAGTCAATCAACTTCCGTTACAGTTAATATTGGGGTACGATTTTATGAAGTTTGCGCGAATGTCCGTGAATTTAGGTGATTCAACAGCGGAGTTTAAGTTTAGGGAGAGTGTTAAATCATATTGTTTGATAGGAGAAGGAGAGATCCCAACTTGTGATAAACCCGATTTAGGTGATTCACCGCTCACAGACGACGAACGAAATAAATTTGAAAACCTACTTCGACAGTTTAGCGACGTTGTCACAGACAAAATCGGCTTAGCCAAGACTGAGCCTTACAAAATTCGTTTTAGTAAGGATATTGTGCCATTCCGACAAAGACCTTACCACGTCCAGCCAGATAAGATGGTAATAATGAGAAATACTGTGCAACAATTATTAGATGAAGGGGTAATAGAAAAAAGTGTTTCAGAGTTTAGTTCTAGCGCCTTCCTAAGACCAAAAAAGGAACCCGGAAAATTTAGATTGGTAGTCAATTATAAAGAACTAAATAAGTTTATTGAAATGGACAGTTTCCCACAACCAGAAGTAGATAAAGTTTTTCCTTATTTTAAAGATGCTCGTTATTTCACTACACTTGATTTGAACAATAGCTATTACCAATGCCTATTACACCCTGATAGTAGGAAATACGCCGCTTTCAATGTAGGATATGCCTTATATCAGCCTCGTACTTGTCCCCAAGGAATAAAAATCGGTAGCCAGGTGTTAGGACGCATAGTCGACGAAATGCTAGGAGACTTAAAATTTAAATGTGTAATAAACTTTGTCGACGATCTCTGCATTTATAGCGCAAACCCAAAGGATCATTACAATGACTTGAAAATGGTTTTGGAACGTCTAAGGGCCGCCGGACTTACAATCAAACCCAGCAAGGTCACCTTGGCAAAGAGGGGCATGCGTTTCCTGTCACACATAGTAAAGGATGGCAAACTGTATGTGGACGATACTAAAGCTGAAGTTATTAGTAATTTTCCTCGACCACGCAATTTAAAGGGTGTACAACGATTTATCGGCATGGCTGCTTTTTATGCCAAGTTCATACCTAATTTCTCCGAAATCAGTAGACCATTGAACTACTTGAAAAAGAAAGGCGTAAGATTCAGGTGGGGTCCCGATCAACAATCTAGTTTCGACAAAATAAAGCAAACATTGTCCTCACCCGTCGTACTTCATCTTCCAGATTGGTCCAGGAGATTTATAATGTCGTGTGACGCAAGTGAAAACGCCGTAGGAATTGTCCTGGAACAGGAAATTAATGGCAATAATGTTCCAATCGCTTTTGCCAGCAAAACATTCTCAGGTGCTCAATTAAAATACAGCATGTATTTGAAGGAATTTGCCGCTGTATTGTACGGCCTGGAAAAGTTCAAGGATTATCTCACTGATAACCCATTCATCCTTAAAACCGATTGTATGGCTGTAACATATGTTATGGGCTCCGACAAGACTACTGGTATGTTAGCGCGTTGGAAACTACGATTTTCACAATTTCCATGCGAGAAAATCGAGCATTGTAGGGGCACACAAAACATAGTAAGCGACGCTCTAAGCCGGATGTTTGAAGTCAATGAACCACAACAGACTAAAACCCCAGCGCCACAAAGCAACGTTGGCCCCGACCGAGTCAAAGTCAACAAACAACAGCCGACTAAAACTCTCACACCACAAAATGATGTTGTCCCCGAACAAGTTTTCTTTCTACAACACTTCCCTGAAACCTTTGAGTCACTGAGTTCGAAACAACGCGAAGACCCACAGCTCCTCAATATTATAAATAACATCGAAGATGGAATCGACGTACCGAATTATTTTATAAAAAAGGGTATACTACGTTATCAAAAAAACCCCAGAAATCCGTCTAAAATCGTCGTTCCGACTCAAATGAGGAAAATGTTAATGAAATATTTTCACGACATTTCAATATCAGCTCACCTAGGAATAAAAAAGACTATCGGGCGAATCACACGCGAATTCACATGGGAGAAAATTTTCGACGAGGTTAAGCAATTTGTCAGATCTTGTAGCCTTTGTCAGCTGTCTAAACCAGCTCAAGCGCTAAATATTGGCCTGATGAATTCTAAACCTCCCGAAAGATGCTTTGAACGACTACACATCGATACCTTTGGACCATTAATACGAACCGCAAATGGAAATATGTACGCATTAGTTTGTGTCGATACATTTTCAAAGTTTAGTTGGATTATTCCATTAAAGAAGGCAAACACCAAAACAATCATTGCAGCGCTAAGGGAAAAAATTTTCACTCAACATGGTTTCCCAGAAATAATTGTATCTGACAACGCATCCATTTTTAAGTCAGAAATGTTTAAAAGTTTTTTGTTCAGCTTAGGGATCAAACACATCAATACTTCTGTAGCTAGGCCAAACTCAAATCAGTCAGAAAGAGTCAATCGCAATCTGAAAATAGCGTTAAAGATATTCCATTCGCAAACACAAAAACGCTGGGATGAAAATATCGCATATTTAAACATGGGTTTAAATTCAGCCGTCCACGAAACAACCAAAGCGACGCCTGCGCGAATTTTCTTAGGACGAGAAATTAATCATCCATTGCAATTACAGTGGGACATCGATCAGGAAAACGATACTGACGTTACAGAGGATTGTATCGCAAAAATCATGGATAATATTAAATCAGCCCATCGCAAAAGTAGCGCCAGATATAATAAAAATAGGAATCCATCGCCGTTCCAAGAAAACGATTTGGTATTATATAAAAGGTACATACCAAGTAATAAAGCCAACGAAGTATCGCACAAATTGACTCAAACATGGAAAGGTCCATACGTCGTAACCAATGTGTTAAGTTCAGTAAATGTCAGAATTGAATTAGTCAAGGATCCCAGTATAAATCGAGTAGTTCATGTATGCCAATTGAAAAAATATTATCAGCGGTAGGTGGATCGAATCGTATCGTATTGTTTTGTATGTGTTTAAATGTTTAAATGTGGTAACGTAAGAATCTTTATATTGTATTATATAAATATTGTTGTGAAAAATTGGAGTAACAGTGAGTGATTTCCCTGACAGTGAATAAAAATCAATGATGTGCAACGGTGTAAGTGTGCTGGGCGACTCGCAGGCCAGAAGGATGTGTGAAACATGGACTATAGACGACCCCAGTGTTGATCTCAATGCCAGTGGGACCCGAGGCGGTTGGACAACCACAGACTTAAAATCAGCATTAAGACCCATATTGCCTCATCTCCACAAAACCTGTTTTATTATCTGCTCCATAAATGATATATTCAAGAAAGTACCCCCGAATCAAACCAAATCAAATCTTAAAATCATTACAACCCTCATTAAAGCCAGCAATAGAGACATTATAATTTCGACCATTCCCCCCACCCTCAACAGAAACCCACAACATCAAAACCAAATCAAACAAATCAATGTGTTTATACAATCGTTACATAATCCGCCCAGAGTACGAGTGTTACAATTTCATAAACAATTCCAACCGTTAACTACAATAAAGAAGAATGAATACTTCAAACACACTTATAAAAACGGCAGAAGAGATATTGTCCATCTGTCGAGAGAGGGTTATCGCCTGCTTATCGCATCACTGACAACAATGTTATCGCCGCTCTCTGTCTAACCATTGTTGAGCGCCCGCCCCACCCTCCCCAGCTGACAGCACTACTATCGGACCATTGTTGGGTCACTGTGCTACTGATCCACTAGAGCCAATACACCTGTGCCACTACGCTGCCGACCAACAACAATGTACGAGCCCAGCTGTTCACCACCTCGGACAACACGCTCTGCTGATTACCACATGTGGTAAATCATAGTGTCTATTCTGTGCGCGGGATGCCTTTGTGTGTTTAATGAGGAAATGATCAGTTGGTGTCCTTGTCATAAAATAGATCATTGTAATAGTTTAGTATTGTTGTTACCATTATTTAAATTGTTGTTGCCTGATTGTTGTCGTTATTGTTGATTGTAAATTGTAATTGTGTTCATGTGTATCGTCGTGGTCCACCGGCTAGGCCAAAAATGCTCCGAGGTAGTACGATAGGTTTGACTGTCCTGGGCCGATCACGGATCATTTTTTTCTGCTAGGGGGCATTTTGTACCGATTTTGTTGTAAAAGGCAACAAATCAATACAGGTTAATGCAAAGAACAGTCAGCTGGTTTCAACAATAGATCAGTATAGACCAGAATGCACCACGCACTAAAGACGGAGAGGGGATAAGGTTTAGCCGGGCGGCCATCTGTTTAAATCAGTACTCAGTCCTTACCCAAGTCTCATCGTAGCTAGTTCGGTAAAATTGTTTATCGTTCGTGGAAATTAAATTCATTTCGCGGCGTTTGGTCGGCCAATCTTAAATTTCCTTAAAGTCGTTCAGCCTATATCCCTAAGGGATATAATTGCCTCGCGATCGGAAATTAGAATCAGTGTTTTTGTCAAAAAGTGCAAAAGTTCGTTACCGGCCAAACGCAGTCCGCCATTTGAAAATTTCTCAAACGATTCACGAGTTCAATTGATCGCGTGTTGTAGTATACCGGCTAGTTACGTTTTCCCATCCTTTCCCCTTTGTGTTATATTTGTGGACGTCCAAACTGTAAGTAATTTTGTGTATTTATTTGTTAAATTGAGATTTTCAGTGAGTCGCACTTTGGTAAATTTTCCCGTCTTGTTTTGTCAATTCATGTAGAATAAGCACATGTTCATAGGTTCGATCACAATTTGTTGATTTTTAAATCCATTCATATTGTTGCAATCCGCTTTATTTATTAGACTGTGATATTTCTATAGTATTAAGAATAAATATATGAAAATGTTTTTATAGGGTAATTCAGAGTTGCTTTGTAATATTTTTATATAGTATTTGAATTTTGCACAGAGTCATTATTAAAAGTACAATTCGTTACAGAGTGTCACAATCAGCATTTTAATTTGGGGGAATCATTTAATATCAAAGGAGGGATTAGGTTGCTGGTTCGGCTGAATCGGGAAGTGTTATCGGAGGCTGTGCCAGTTTGCATATAGACGAACCGCCAAAGTGCCAAATTAGCTATAAAACAATAAGCAACGTTCCAGTAAATATTATTACGATTAAACGCAATACTGTTTAATCAGTTGACCTTCGAGAATCGACCTTCATATTTACATCGTTGGCCAACGAACAGGACTTGTTTAGCACTGGTCGTCTCAAATTAAATTAAATACCACTCCTCCGTTGACACCTTCGAGATCGGTGTGAAACCGCGCCAAATATTCCCCTTTGAATAAATCCGTTCAACATTCTCAGACAGATCAATTCCGTCTGATTGTGTCACTCAAGGTCATATTTTTATATTGCACCACACAATCAGAAACTGTCAAACTGGAATCATTGTAAATCTTAAATAATGCTTAATAAATCAAATTGTACTCACTTTTAGTTCTCAATAACCTGGTAGTTCTTTATTATATGCTATAGTATCAAATTGGTAAACAAAAGGTAATTCAGTAAATAATAGGCCACTACAAAAGATTCACCTTTTAAGTGCAACACTAAACACTAGTGTAGTAGTGAGCAAGTAAATTCGGTGTAGAATTAAGACTGGTAAATTGCTCTCATTAAAGGTATTACTTTTTTGGAAGAACTACAAACAGTGCCAAGGGCGTCCCCTAAGGACCTTTTGGGAATATTTATATTTTGCAGGGCCCACTCATATTTTTTCAATAACATCAAGCTTCCACTGCCAAAAAGCTCTGTCTGATATTTTTATTTTCTGGAGTTCTTCCAACCCAGGGGCAACCAACATTTGTAAAGATTCATTTGAGAGCATTGCAAGGAGCAAATATATTTAAATACAATATTTAAATATATAAAAGTAGTAGGAGGGAGTTGTTTTTATTTTTCTTTACAGTAGCCCAAGGGAAATATGAAAATTAAATGATATAATATTGCATTGTCATGCATTTGTGAGCTATGTTTCAAATTTCAAGTCTCTAGCTTATCGGAAACATCGTTTAAAATTGATATCAAAATTTGTAGGAAAGCTAGCTAATAAAAACAAGCCCATGGGGCGTAGCCCGAAAGGAAATATGAAAATTAAATGATATAATATTGCAATGTCATCCATTTGTGAGCTATGTTTCAAATTTCAAGTCTCTAGCTCATCGGGAAGTATCAAAATTTGCAAGAAATCAATTTAATAAAAACAAGCCCATGGGGCGTAGCCCAAGAAAAATATGAAAATTAAATTGTATAATATTGCATTGTCTTCCATTTGTGAGATATGTTTCAAGTTTCAAGTCCCTAGCTCATCGGGAAGTTAGTATAAAATCGGTTGCAAAATTTGTAGCGGACAAGAAAGCGACCTAATAAAAACGTTTTAAAAAGAACACAATTGAATGAGCCAGTCACAAGACTTATTTTTGCAACTGTGATTATTAATGTGGCATGAAAGATAGCCTAAGCTGAGTTAACACAAGGTCAGTAGATTAAGCAGGTTATGGAACAGGTTACTTGCCTAAAGTGTATTTCAAGATTCTTAAAGCAGGTAGCCTGCCCGCATACTGCAAACGCGGCTTTACATTAAATCGTCCTGTCATTTTTTTTTAAAAGTTGGTGTATTCAACCGTAATTTAAATCAGCACAATCTGTCAGTGGCTCAACTGAACTAGTCCATGTTGATTCAAAACTGGCGACAATTTTAACATGAGGATTGAATGTCTAGTCAGTTGTTGCACTCACCGACATATATCTTGAGTTCCTTGACCTCTGGTTCGTTAGGCATCTGTCCTCTTCCCTTGTAGCTGACGTTAGACTTGCGAACCTTGGTCTCCTTGCCTCCCCCTCCCTGCGCCGCCAGTCTCTGTCTCGCTTGCTCGTTCAGCTGAGCAGCCAACTCCTTCTGATGCTGCTTGCGCTTCTCCTCGGCTGATGAATCCGTCTATGTTCAACAACAGTTGTGAGAAACTTTGACCAGTATTGTCGACGGTTACAACCTCTAAAAGGTTGGAAATTTAATCTTTAACCAATCATCAAACTCGCTTCAATAATCTTCTAAGTTGAAAGTAAAATACATTAAACACCTTTAAACCACTCCCTGTTAACAAAAACCCAGGTGACAGAAACCATAATGAAAATACAAGCTGATTGGAATATTATAGTTCGGCCGCTTAGAAAACGACCTGCGCGCTAATGCTAAACCAATGCTGGAGGAGGTCGTTTTCTAAGCGGCCGACCTATAGCTGGGCAAAGTAAATTGCCTGCAATAGCGGAATGTAATGGCGCAGATGACGACATGGATCTACTATTGTGTTAGCATGCGTTACAATGAATGTGTGTGAATGTGTATGTCAGGGTGTGTGAATGCGTATGTCAGGGAATATGATTTGTCACTTGTCATCATTTAACAACCTAAGACGAGTAATGAAGCTGAATACACTTACCCTCAGTTTCGACTCGAGCACAGCTGTCCGTCGGCCTCTGCCTGTCAAAGGCTCTTCTGGCTTTGGCTCATTTTCTTTTTCCTCTTCCTCATCTTCTTCATTGTCTTGTTTGACAAACATCGCGACATTCTTCAGTTTCTTCTTACTCTGTGTGAGGATCGTAGCTGGCTGACCCTGTAGTGTTCAACTTGGTTATTGTATTGTACATAATGGAACCACAAGTCAATAGTAGTGAATTATTGTGATCCAATCATGTTAGATAGAAAACAAGTAAAGCATTTTCAGAGGCCCACAAAACTGTGAATTGCCAATATGGTTTCAATCATACAGCCAATTTGACTATTCAGTTGAAATTACGATGTAACCCAGTCAAAAATGTTGTAATCAAAATTTTGTAAAAAAAAATTTATTTTTAGCGGCAAACCTAAGTAGCATACTCCTTATGTTAATCAAACAGGGAATAAATATGTTAAATTTAAAGAAATTTCTTAGTCTAAATCCATTCAGACAAATGGAAGGTTACTATTATTGATACTATAAAGATTCAGAACCAACGTCACAATGAATTTTAAAAACAACAAACTGTACAAATGGAAGTTTGCTTAGTCTGCAGGTTTGCTACAACAGGGTTATTTGAAGACTTTTGAGAGGAAACCTTGCTTACCTGAATGGAAAAGAGTCCAATGTGGCACATAAGAAACACTAAAATTTACACAATACACAAAACATTATATAGAAGAGAAAGTTCATGTATTTCCTGGCCACCACAACTGCCAGCTAAAAGACAACTTTCTTGTTGACTCATCCTTTCCTTAGTTGAACAAGCTCAGTGACAGTAAAATGTACTTATCTTTTGAGAATAGTGTCAAGTTTTGTGTTTCTTGTGCCAGTTTAGAATCTTATCCGTTCATGTAAGCCTGCGATCTACACGAAAATTCCTAATCCTTCCTAATTCCTAATAAACAGGTTAAGTGTAAGAGAGGGCCATGTGGCCCTAACTTTGCCTGACTAAATAAATCATTTTCATTTCATTTCATTTCATTTCATCCTTGATCCTAAAACATCCTTTTTCCTTAAACTTGAAGTTTTAATACATTGTTTTGTTAGCTACCTCGTTGACGAGTACTGTGTCTCCGATGAACAGTGCGTAGATCTTGCCCTCCTTATCACTGGCCTCCCTATTGGTGAGGTTGGAAAGGCCGACGTTTAGGTTGAACACTTGGCCTTTGCGAGCCACAGCTGTTGTCTTTGGGCCAATGGTAAGGGAACTCTCTCTGAACTCGATGCCCATCACAAACCTGTAAAACATTTACTATTAAAGCTTCATAGAATTTGTCAATCTGTACATAGGCCTACATAAAGAGCTTATTTATAGGTAAGAGAAAGGATACTACATGACAGTAGAGTGAGTCTAAGGGTATAGCGTAGAACTTCTCCTTTGTGGATCTATGTTAAAATCCTTTCATTACTTATGCCAATTATCTGTGTGACGTCGTCACACAGATAAAATGCAACGTTTCATACAACCAAAGCAAAAATCCTGCTTACCGGGTCTAAAAAATCCCACTTTGATATAAGTAAAATCCAGTTTCAGCCAGCATGAATCTAGTAAAAAAGTTCTGTTCTATCTAAATTGATATTTTTGTCATGTCTATGTTTAAATAGCTCTTTTAACCTTTCTATAATAAGCTAAAACAGTTGAAGTAATTGGATTCAGTTAGTATCTGGAAAAAAAGTAAGAAACAAAAATCAGGTGTTGGAGCCTAAAATTGCATTTTATGCCGCTTCTAGTTATAATCCCTGTGCATGGTCTGACACAATTTTTTTTTAACTGTACAGCGTATTAAACACTGCATAAATTATTTCGATCTATCTTAAAGTGAATGTATGTGTTAGCACCAATAAATAATAGGTTTACTAAGCAAGGACAACTGTCTCTTTTTAAGGCATCGGAATTCCAAAAACAAAAAGCCATGTGATTAAAATTGTTTTTATTAACGGCAATGTTGGAGATACTTGGTGCAGTAGGCCTAAGCTGATATAAATTACTTACTTACAAGTTTAATACACTCAAAAGTCAAAACTAATGAATTAAACACAATTCTGATTGTTTAAAATCTCCAAACTGTTCAATTTTGAATGACAGAAATACTTTCATGAACAGTAGAAGCACAAGTTAATGTTCACTGACATAAGTTTGGTGTTTATTTAGCTGAGTGCATTGGCTTTCTATTCAACTATTAGGCTACAATCAACCAAAAATTCAAGATAGACTATGTAAGAGCACAAGTGGTAAATATTTCACTCACCCAAAGTTCTTGACCAGATGATCGACAAGCTCAGGTTTTGTCTTTTTCGTGTAACTGACTCCAGCCTCGTACACTTGGCACAGTTTCTTGCCGGCCTGTAGATTCTTTATGAGTTCCTCTTCTAGATCGACTAGGAAATTGTAGTTAGCCTGAAATTAGGGAACACAGTGTAAATTCAATTTAGTTTGGATCAGATTAGATTCATAAGACGCACACCAACACCAGAGACCAGGGTGCTTATTTTATGAAGGAGTTCTACACCAAACTCTACATTATATACAATCCTAATGTTTTGTGAGCAAAACTCTTTCAACGGGCTTGAAGGCAAATTACATAGCGGTACTCCAAACAGGAATCTATTGAATGTTTTTAGATGGATCTCGTCTCACCTGAATCGCATCAGTAGGATCCACCAGAAGTGTCCTCACGATGTTGGAACAGTAGGACTTATACCTGGCGCCCAGGGAACACACAATCGCTCCAAAGTGGAGGTTGTTTTTGTCACTGGAATACAAATTACAAATCAGAATGTAATGTTTTTAGGAAAAAGCATTAGCTTGAATTAAACAAATTATATAAAATGGAGAGGACACAGCCAAATTATCTGAAGAAAGTTTGCAGACAAGTCACAGCACAAATAAATTATATACACACCAAAGAATATAAACCAAAGAATTATAAGAACAACAGTCAGCTTTATCTGTACGCTGATGATTCCAATTTAAAAATAACATCAAACTCAATAGAACAAATGGAAATACAATCTTTTGTAGAGCTAGAAAATTTAAACGATTACTTAAAAAATCATAATTTGTTACTAAATACACTAAAAACTAACTTCATGCAATTTAGAACTGCACAAAATAAAAAAAATGAGAATTTAATTATTATGTCAGATTCACAGATGATTGAGGAGAAGACAAGTACATGCTTCCTTGGTTTAACAGTGGATGCAAATTTAAATTGGAATGATCATGTAGGTAAGGTGTTATCAAAAGTTAACTCTGGTATATATGCTCTTAGGAAAATGTCGTTATACTGTGGATCGGAGACATTACGCCATATCTATTTTTCATACATTCACTCACACATAAGTTTCGGATTGTGTCTTTTTGGAGCAACAGGGAAAATAAATTTAGACAGTATTTTGAAAGAACAAAAAAGAGCCATAAAAATCATTCTTAAACTAAATTATGATCAATCAGCGAAAGAGGAACACTTTGTTAATCTTAAAATTCCCACAGTTTATGGACAATACATCTATGACTGCATACTAATTTCTAAAAATGAGGCAGTAAGTCCTAAATCTTCCATATGCCACAAGTACAATACAAGGCATAAAAATGAAATTATCCCAAATCATCACAGATTAAAATTTTACGAGAAAAAACCAACATATTCGGGAAAGAAATTCTTTATGCGTTTACCAAAAAATATAAAGTCTGAAAATAATATTGAAAAATTTAAGAAGAAACTCAAAGAGTACATAGTAAACAAACCAATATATTCATTAGATGAGTTTTTCCACCTTTGTTCACAAAAGAAATAAAAAGTATATTTCAGGACAAATTGTGTTAAAATAGTTAAGGTTCAAACACTGATGTATTTTTAATATAATTTTTTGACACTATTTATATGTACCTATGTGCATGAAATAAATAAAGAATTTTTGATTTGATTTGATTTGAAAAAAAAAACTTGATATTTCGCACCTTCAGAGACATACTTAAGCTAAAGCTTACTTATCTTAGGCAAGTTAGCTGTGTCCTCTCAATCCTATATCATTTTTAATCAGAATCTAAACAATAGGCCCTATTCAGTCTAATGTTTGTGTTATGTTTGACAACAATTAAGGCACACTTATACAACTACAACTTCACTTATACAATCTTGATTGGAATTATCTATATAAGAATTTTAATATAGGCACAGAGAAGTAAGATACAGAGGAAATATGCTTATGGAACCACCGTGCGCTTTTAGCTGGGGTAGAAATATAGGCTACTAGTACCAAGCAAGGAAGAGCCGAACGGCTATTGTTTACAACAGCAGTTGTAGCGCACAGGCTCTTCCTACAGTGTGAGCACTGTAGTACGTGATGGTGAGGAGAGAGTAGAGAGCGGAAGGGGATGACCAATAGAATTTGCACTAGACACAAGCGACTGGTGCTAGACACGACTTAAGTGTACCATTGAATGTTTCCTCTGCATCTTATTTCTCTGCGATATGGGCTATACATTGTAGAAAAATATTACAGATTAGGTTCTGGAGATGGATCAATATTAGGCCATTTGCCTATTGGCTCTGATGATGATTGGGGTGTCCAATTGTAATCAATCATCACTTACCACCTCTATCTTTTTACCATCTTGTAGTCAACAGCATAAGTGTAAATATATGTTTTGAACGAGTTAAACATATTTTTATATAAGTTCTATAAATTTAGTAACACGTACAAAGCTGTTCAAGTTAATAGGCCTAACTTTCTAATTAAAAAAGAACACAACAAAAATGAATTATATTTTTTCAAGCGTAAAATCAGGCTTACGCCCAAGCTGTTACTGACCTGACGACGCTGAACTTGAGGTTGTAGTTGCCGCCGCTCTGTATGATGGCCGGGTAGCACATGTCCAGCTGACTCGTGTCTACGTTGCTCACGTACTTCTTGTCTGACAAGGCTGACTCCACCCCCTCCGCCAGCTTAGCGTGCTTCACTTTCTGTACAGCAGGAAACAACATAATTTACGGTTAAATAATGCCAAGTTGTGATAACAATTTCTACAAGTAGGCCTATAATTATTAATATAATTTCTAATGTGGTGCTGATAAAATGATCAGCCGGTACAGTGATTAAACATAAACCACAAATTAAATGAAGGGTTGAACTATTGGAGAAGATCTTACTAAGATATTATTACCTTTTCAGCATCAATGATGTCCATGACCTGATCCTTGAGGTACTTGTTGAATATATCGACCGACACTTGGCAAGCCTTCTTCATGATGGTTAACTCGGAGTCTTCCTTGGGACTCATGATGGCTGCCACACTGACACTCATGTCCACCTACAAGTGACACAGGTATATTACATACAACTTGTCTACCTGAACAAGAACAAATAAAAGTAGACAGAAATTGGATTGTTCCAATCACCAAGATCACACAATTCAAATTAAATAAGTTTTACCCCTCCAAATACACAACTAAACTGGAAACGGATGTCTTCGGTAAATATGAGGGTTTATTACAACTCCCTTTTTTTGCAAGAGTTGTAGATTTATACGTTGTTTTCACTAAGATAAAATTGATTAAATTTTAAAAACGAAGCAATGCTCAAATAGAAAATTTGAAACTAAAAATGAAAAATGCTCTTTAAGAACAATAGAGGTTTGGCGCAATCAACTTAATGAATAAAACAAGGGTTGGCAGGTAGAAGTCAAGATGGAGAAGGCAATGATCTTGACTGAGGTGTGCACTATTAGGCCGTATTTCAAAACCGTGTGGTTTTGATGCCAGTTTTGAACACTTTGATCTTGTTTAGCCACAATTTCCACTCAAAAATATTAAAGTATCTATGCAATCAGAAATTATATTCAAATTACCCGTATTTCAACATTCATTAACCTTAAGCCCTATGTGGTAGTTTTAGGAACCAAGATAATAATTTAAATTAAAGGATTTATCGAACTAAGGTTGTTCTACTGTAACTTATAAGAAAGAAAAGAAAGAAACTCCCTTAGTTGCATTATCCATTCACATGGCATAATTTCAAGCACCTAATATTTTATGCGAAAAGATAAATATAGGAATGATTAAGCTTACACATGTCATTAGGCCTAGGTTATATTTACATGTTAAGTGATTCCAACGTATTAAAAGTTAATGACTGGACCCATGAGTTCATAATTGAAATTTTTATTGACCGTTGATCTGATAGTAGGCCTAGGCCTTTGAAATACTCTTGCTCAAGGTTTTGAATAAATACAAAACCTGGCTGTGATTGCCAATTTTAGCCTGGAATTATTCAAGAACCAACTGTTGTAGACTTACTTGTGTAAACTTTTCTTTTTCTAGGACAGCCTTCCAAGCAGTCATGAATGGACCGGGATATGCATCTTTCACAAACACGCCGACTGTCTTGCCAGCTTTGCTGCCTTTGATGGCATCCACCAACTTCTGGAATGCTGGTTTGTCATCACCGCCCTGGAATAAACACTTTATTTTACATGGAATACCTCTTTTTTTATTCAGTACATTTTACACTTCCAGCATCTCAAGTGCTGATGAAATATTAACAAGTTCACAATTTGTACATCCATTTTAATTTAACTGAAACATTATTTAGTTATTGCATTGGAACCTTAACAGCAAAATCGCTTAGTTTTTACAATATTTACTGGAAATATCCTATTAATTTGTTCAACAAAAGTCAAAGAAATAATAAGGCATGTTAAAACAACCGTCCTTGGTGAACCCCAGGGACTCCCAAAATCAACAACTCTAATTGTGAACTTTAATATTTATCTTGCCCTGTAAAATATTCCGATTTAAATCTTATGTTTTTAAAACCCTTTACGTCAGACTGCAAGCACAAGGATTACAAACCTTATCTCTCGTATGGAGCTTCACTGGCGGAACACTGTTTTCATCTTTACTTGCTTCCACCTGCCGTAAAAATTCAATTTTCTTCTTGCTTGCCAGAAAATGAATTGCGTCTTTGGTTAACACCATGATGGTGTCAGTTAACTCATAACCGAGCAACCAAGTCTGAAATTTGTATCAGTCTGAATTAGTTATGAAAAATATAAAACAAACAATTAACAACAAGAATACCTAGGCCTATCACCCAATTGAATTTAAATTAGGCTATTTTTAAATAAAGAAACTATGTTTTTAAACATTTTTTGGCAACAGAAATATTTAACTTACCATGTGGGCCTAGTAGGTTTATAGCATTCCTTTGACAAACTATCAATAATTAAAAAAGAAAGCCACAAACTCAAACCATGCAGATATAGGTGGATTTACGACATGTATATGAGAGGGAATTTTATCCTTGAGCGATGACTTTACAGAATCAGGGCTGGATACAAGAGGGGGGGGGGGCTGAGAGAACGTAACGCCCCCTGCAAATGACAGATTTTTTGGGTAAAAAAATAAAAAATGTATTAATTATAAATAAATAAAATGACTTAATATAAAAAAAATAAGTTAACATTTAATTGTTTATATTTTAATAATCATGGTGAAAAGCTAAAAAAAATTATATATAATCAGGATATTGTAATGTTAATCTCGTTTTGTGGTTTACATCAAGAATGTAGAAGAATGTCGCCTTTGTGAAAGAAGCCAAAGACATTACAAAAAAAGTGTATCTTTACTTTAGTGACATTATTTTACCATTTCTAAGCTCAATGCTGATGTAATAAAGTTATCTCTCTCTCTCCCCATCTGTCTCTGTCTCTGTCTGTCTCTCTCTCTCTCTCTCTCTCTCAAGTATAGGGTATGGGATAGCTTAGCAGGGAATTTAAAATCCCTTGCTGTCAGTGTAAGACACTGTGACTATGTCACCTTCTTATTCTCACTTTTCTTATCGCTCGTTTCGATCACCATGCTAAGGCATGTTTTTGTATGTTTAGAAGTGTATTCTTGTTGCGATTTGAATACCTTTACCTAACGTAAATATGGCAAGTAATATTTCTAACAATACAGGTTTAGGTCTAAAAATGCTCGCCTAAATCATTTAAGCCTACCTATTTTAATTGTACGATTATTTCAAAATCTAAAGCATAAATTAGTGGTTGCAGGAAAATAGCAAACGCAAGCTAAACAACCCAACCTAAAATCTTGACCTATTCCGACCACTGCAGTTTCCCGACAGTCAGTCAGTGTGGCCATTGATTATTTACAGGGTTACCAATTATTGATAGGTATGATTATTAGGGTTATTGATTATGTATCAATGGTGTTGCCACTAGTTGGATTTGATTATCTGGAAATAGATTATTCGTAGGGTATAACACAAAATTGACATTTTCACTAGGCCTACCCTTTTTATAATAATTTGGAACACTCATAATGCAAAATCTAGGTAAACATAAAGTAAATAGGGGAATTCGAATTAGGCCTACTTACTGTATAAAATTATATACCCATAAAACTTATTGAAGTGTGCGTTTCTTTCTCTTGACAAATTGCTTTAAGACCAGGTGCTGATACTTTTATACCATCACAAATTAAACAAACACTATTTTAAATCAATTATGTTTTTGCCATTTTTTGAGTCACACTTGCCCTTGGAACCAAGGTGTTTTGATTTTTGTTACAGACCCAGATGAAAAAAACAACAAAAATACCCCCGCCACAGCAAACCTGCAGACTAAGCGAATTTCCATTTGCCTGATTTAATTTTCAATTAAATCTATTCAAATAACATTAGGTTTAACGAGTACCTAGGTTTGCTGCCTACAGGGTAATAAAGTGTGTTTTTCAGTAAAATATTAACAGCTTAGTATAAAATAAATCGATTGGCCAAGTTTGATCCAAATATATGCATAAACAAGCAAACTACAAAAGTTTACTTATTCTCCATAAGAATAACATGGGAATTTTTAATTTATAATTTTCTCCGTAACCAATAACCATACAAAAACACTTCAATATACTGAATTATTTGTTTTTTTTAAGCTCTTCAAAATGGTCTAGAAGAAATTTGGGAAATTTTATGTTTTGAGGGTCAAAAATGAGAAAAACCAATTTTTACCCCATAAATCCCCCCATAAAACCCCGTTCCCATGGTCCGATCATGCTGGCTCGCGAACTCGTTCGAATAAACGTAGGTTTACACGTTTGTACCAAATTTCATCAAAATCGGATCATTTTTGCTCGAGTTATCGTGCTGACGGACACATATATATATATATATATATAAATATACTTTTGGTTGTTAGCCATTTCATTATTATTTTCTTGCATTTTTAGGGCTACTAATATAATAAAATTAAAACATATATAACAAAGTACCCTTTTAGTAATTATTTTATTTTTCATGACGACATGTTTCGGAACTAAGTCCATTGTCAAGTCATTTTTACCATAACCTCATTCTTTAAACTAACAAAATTAAAAATATAATCATATGTAAAAATAATAAAATATGTTAACTAAATCTTAATACATTTTGGTATTAATTTTTTTCATTATACTATATGAATGTTTTTCTTTCTTTCCTTAGTTTTTCAATTTTATCGTAGATAGGTTGGTTTAATTTTGGAATCATTGTGTTGAGTATGTTGTTGGGGTCCTTTTTGTTGTGTATATAAATATTTAGCTCTTCTTTCACATTAAGTTTCTCACGTTCTTTTTCAAATTCTAAAATAGTTAGATTGTCTTTCATGTTTTTATAACTGTGGTCTGTGTTCATTATATGGTCGGCGAAGTTCGACTTCATTGATGTCTGATTTTTTGATTTCAATGCTTGTAGATGTTCCTTGAATCTTGTTTTAAAAGTTCGAGATGTTTGACCTATATAATACTTGCTACAGTCACTACAGTTTATCTTATAGATTCCTGATTTGTTGTACTTTTCGTCTTCATTATCTTCTGTGTGTTTGATTTTTTTATTGATTAATTGGAAAATATTGTTCTTAGTTCTGTAACTTACCCTTATACGTTTAAATACGTTTAAAAATTCGGATATAAGGGTAAGTTACAGAACTAAGAACAATATTTTCCAATTAATCAATAAAAAAATCAAACACACAGAAGATAATGAAGACGAAAAGTACATCAAATCAGGAATCTATAAGATAAACTGTAGTGACTGTAGCAAGTATTATATAGGTCAAACATCTCGAACTTTTAAAACAAGATTCAAGGAACATCTACAAGCATTGAAATCAAAAAATCAGACATCAATGAAGTCGAACTTCGCCGACCATATAATGAACACAGACCACAGTTATAAAAACATGAAAGACAATCTAACTATTTTAGAATTTGAAAAAGAACGTGAGAAACTTAATGTGAAAGAAGAGCTAAATATTTATATACACAACAAAAAGGACCCCAACAACATACTCAACACAATGATTCCAAAATTAAACCAACCTATCTACGATAAAATTGAAAAACTAAGGAAAGAAAGAAAAACATTCATATAGTATAATGAAAAAAATTAATACCAAAATGTATTAAGATTTAGTTAACATATTTTATTATTTTTACATATGATTATATTTTTAATTTTGTTAGTTTAAAGAATGAGGTTATGGTAAAAATGACTTGACAATGGACTTAGTTCCGAAACATGTCGTCATGAAAAATAAAATAATTACTAAAAGGGTACTTTGTTATATATGTTTTAATTTTATTTTAATATAAATATACATATATATATATATATGAATTTGAACGGATGGTGTTTTTGGCTTCTAGGAACATCAAAATGAAAAAGTAAATCGGTCCCGGGACTAAGTCTTACCATGAGACCTACGGTAATAGCTTATTCCCTATAGGGAAATTCGCTAAAACAATTAGGAATTAACTGAAGTAACTAATTTCTGGGCATCATTAATACTGTCTTCATAGGCCTTCTATAAGCCTAGCTGAAAATGCTTGTTTCATGATTCAAAATTTTCTGGGAGAGGCCCCCAGACCTCCCTCTGGCTGGTGGGTTTCCATACCCCTAGAAGCCCCCCCCCCCCCAGTTGTTCTCTGGACCCTCCCGTGAACAGAAGATATTTTATAATAAGAAAATAGCTTTAATACCTGTCAGCAATTGCAGAGTTCATATAACTTAACCCGTTTAAGGTTAGCGGATCAGATTTTACCTGCAATGCAATGGATTTGCTATAAACAACATCCTCGTCCACCCCCACTCCAGACACCAAGGCATCAGCCTTGCCCAGGCCGTCACCTCCATTGTCAGCATCCTAAAAACATGATTAGTTTATTTAATACAATTTATTTAAGCCTAGGACAAGAAATTACACTTATTTTTTGCCTATAACCATATTAGACAAAAAGATTTAAATATAGACTGTCAGCCGTGCTGCGGTTACCATAGGTTGTGGCGCATACCGCTGTTGTAGCGCCGTGTACTTACGTAGCGCGTACGCCGTATCTACACAGTGCTCCCAGCAGGTGTGTGCCACAACCTATGGTAACCACAGCACAGCTGACGGTCTATATTTAATTCTTTTTGCCCATGCTATAACTAACACTCAAGTTTTGATACTGTACATAAACAAAATTAGGGTCCGTTATCCACAACACTAAGATTGACAACAACTGTGTTGTACTGTGCTAGGGCCTGTGTGTTTAAACTAAGTTAGGCCTACCTACTTAAAACATGGACTTAATTTAATGCCAAACACATTCCTTATGACCTTGTGTAGACTCAAGGCATGGGCCTAGTTCTAATGGACATTTTCAATTGGGAAAAGGCCTAATATTACTTGAATAGGTACTGCATCAGTGACCGACAAAGTCGGACAAGATTGTGTTAAATTTAAAACTAGGCCTACACCTAAATTAAATAATAAAAACGACTTAGGATGGCGGCGGGTTACCAAAACGTGGTGTGATCTCTATGCTTAGCTCAGTTAACAAATACAGAGGTCTGCGCAACTAATAGTTCCTCAGTGTGTCTTTGAAAGTCCTTAAGCTTACGTACAGCTTGCGCACTTCAGCCAGAAGTGTTTTTAGAGATTGCTGGTGGTATAGTAGGCAAGAATTTGTATTTTCTTTCGTCGTTGACCCTCTGGCAGACAGACTGTGTCTAGTTATTACGAAATGGTAGTGCTATAGTCCAGGCAAAACGGCATCCAGAGGTAAAGGAGATGGCCATGATGTGTCTGGTATGAGTGATTGATCCTCCCGTCAAGCAAGTTTCGCTAAGCCTTCCTTGTGTGATACCATGCTTTTAAGGATGTACTGACTGTAGGCTAACCGCATTAGGCTAGAATATATGCTAAATAGGCCTAGCCTACGCCTAAATAAAAAGGTTGAAAGAGAAACAGATATTTCACAAAGTCATCGGCCTATTACCTTAATACCATCTTCTTGACCGTTGACCCATCGTATGATGGGAATAGGCTGTGTCAGCGTAAAAACTACTTATTTCAATTCCCGCACATATGTATAAAACTCACAAATTTAAAAAAAACATACTTTAGTACTCATGGCGGTCGCTATGTTACTAATTCAGCTCATCCAAACTACCTTCCAGGAATTCCTTTATTGAGAAGTAGGGATTTTTACAGAAGATATTTCCTGTGGTGGTTTTAAACTTTCTGCTGGCGAGGGTCTTAGTGGCAGCTAGGAGTTTGTTAAGAAACGGATGGCGCTTCCAGGGTATGAGTCTCGATTTCTACTGAGGCAAGTGCGAGGTACATCGAGTTGATTTCGGCCTCTTGTATTGTAGTTGTGAATGTCAGCCCTGGCCCAGTTCATTGTTCTTGATTTCCTGCATGCATGCCCATCTGTAGTGGCTATAGATGGTTAAGATGCCCAGGTTTTTGAAGATGGGTTTGCTATGCTCATGGCGATGGTTGCTTGTTATAATGCGCACAGCTTTCTTCTGGAGATTCAAAACTCTGGCTGCTCCAGCAGCGTGTCCCCAGAGATGTATGCCATAAGAGATATGATAATGAAACATAGCACAGTACACCATAACCAGGTAGGAACTTGTAACACACTTCTTCAATCTCCTCAGTAGAAATATGACACGAGCCAGCTTAGTGCAGACATGTTTGACATGATTGCTCCAGTCCAGTCTTGAATCAAGGGAGAAACCCAATAGTCTAACTCTCCCACCGATGTTGTTTGGGGTGCGTGATGGAGTGCAAGTCATTCAAAGTTTGTCTTGGTCTCATTTAGCTGCAGTTTGTTTGCCCGGAACCACAGCTCCACATCTATTAGATTATTTTTCGCTAGTTCCGCTGCAAGGAGCGGTGTTTTCCCTCTGGTATAAGGTAGTATCGTCAGCAAAGAGCACAAGATTTCCATACCACCCCAGGTCGTTAATGGCAATCAGGAAGAGAAGTGGCCCGAGAACTGAGGCCTGAGGGACTCCGTGTAAAACCTCTCTTTCTGCGGATTTTGTCAACCACTTGTCTTCTGTCACTTAAGTAGAAGCTACTGAGCATGGAGAGAGCTTTACCTCTGACACTAAAAGCAAAAAGCTTAGCCTATCAACAAGGATTCAATGAGGAACACAGTCGAACGCTCGACTCAGATCACAAAGTGTAAGAGATACTGAGTCACTGTCTTCAAAAGCGTTTGCGATTTCATCAGCAATGACTGAAACTGCTCCAGTAGTGGACCTGCTCCTCTGAAAACCGTGCTGCGAGCTACTAAAAAGGTTGTTTGACTCAAAGTAATTGCAGGTTTATTCCTTTCCTACTATCTCGAGAACCTTGCCGAGGACAGGTACCAAAGAGATAGGCCTATAGCTAGCCAGAACGTTGGGGTCCCCCTATTTGTATATAGGGACTGTCCGTGCGATCTCCATGAGTGCGGGGAAAAAACCCTGCTGAAGGCTGTCATTGATAGCTAGGGTGAGGGGTGCATTTATGACATCCGCTACTGTCAACAACCCAAGTGACGTGGCATTGGCCAATAGCGAAGTGACAACAAACCTAGTGACGTGTCATTGCCACATCGACATCTGTTTAGGTTGGTACTAGCTATTTATCCCTGATATGTGCATAAAATCCCTTCTAAAATGGGGATATTATCCCCAGTAATTTTGATTTTTATCCCGTTTTAGGTAAGTACTTTATCCCGCATAATAAAAAAAAATCCCATATTCGTTCAACAAATTACCCATCTTCCCATGGAATTACCCTTTTGTCTCGATGTTTAAGCGACTTTTTCCCCCCACCCAAAACCCCGGCTTCCCACTCTGTCCCCTAGTGAGTAGGAATTATTGCTGATAACAATTACCCTGTTGTCTCGATGTTTTAGCGAGTTAAATTGTTTTAGCGAGTAAGGAAGCCTCAGAGACAAAAAAGTTATTTAAGCGAGTTGTAGTATTGATGTCAAAGAACAGTTTAAGAACGTTTTTAAGTGCGTTTTAGGTGAGTTGTGGAAACTGAACAATAATCAAGCAGTAAATCGATTAATACAAACAATAACCACTTGACTAGTTTAGCTTCATTGGTCATCTTGGTGTCGGCAAGGCTTGGGTAAACCTAACCTAGGAATAAAAAGTGTATTTCACTTTGACACCTAAAACAATATAATACTGATTCAAGTGTGGTGTAATATAAGTTACTTACACTGTTCCATCCAGCATATAATCTTTTCATTCGCCTAAAAAAGGCATCTTTATCCAGTTGTATGTTGGACATGTTTTTCTTCACCACCGAACCGATACTAAATTAGGCCTACGAAAAACGATCTAAAACACTACTTGAAAAGAGGACAAGAGGAATGACTTCCTACATATCTTATTTGTATCAATTAGAAAAAGTATTGCACTAAATTTGGAGTTTTATTCCCAGGATATAAAGTTTAACAACACCTTGCTACTTTTCTCAAACTAGACAATATGGCGAATATGAAGAATGAGAATGGAATGGAATGGAACCGAGTAATAATAAAGAGATTAAGAAGAAGTAAATGGCGGGTGGCTTTGTCATATTTTTCTTATAGAGTTACCAAGTTTTATCTAAAACCATGCAGCTGCGTGGATATGTTAATGTTTTGTCCTATTTATGCAAGCCATGATCATTGATTATAAACAAAATTGATTGTGTACATGTCTTCCATCATAGGGAAATGTATAATCAATAATTAAACATACTCCTAGGATCTTTTGGTACATAATCAGTGGAGTTGATTATTCTGGAAACCATAATCCTAGGGCCCATTTCATAACAAACTACAAGTTACAATTAGATTTACATTGGGCGATCAGCTGATCTACTAATAATTAGTTTGTACCATAGATAAAACTTGTACTTTACTATGAAATAGAAACTCCGTAACTATTAGGCGCATGGCAGGCAACGCTTCAATGTACTAAATTGTTTGTTTTTTAGCCCTAAAATGGTTTTGAAATAAATTGAAAAATTGTATGTTTTTAGGGTCAAAAATGGGAAAAACCTATTTTTACCCCATAAACCCCTGTTCCCACGATCCGATAATGCTGGTTCGCAAACTCGTAAAATAAATGTTGGTGTACACGTTTGTACCGAATTTCATCGAAATCGGATAATTTTTGTTTGAGTTATTGTGCTAACGGACACATTTGACCAAAATATTGGACGCCATCTTGAATTTTGGACTTCCGAGACTCCGATTTCATTAGACTTTTTTTCCTGGTAAATACACATAATTCTAAGTCAAAATAACCAATAAAACAATTTAAAGCAGGTTTTTTAGGGTTCTTGTACGGATTTACTCGACTATATACATAGTGCGATGCTGGGGATTGTGATTTACTCAAACGGACATGAGAGAGAGAGAGAGAGAGAGAGAGAGAGAGAGAGAGAGAGAGAGAGAGAGAGAGAGAGAGAGAGATACTTTATTAAGCAATCGTCAAGATTGAAAATGGCGTCATAAACAATAGGTCAGTAAGTATTTACAAATACAAAAATGTGTACAAAATCGAATAAATCCATGTTTTTACACTTGAAAATTGGGCCAGTCCAAAAATTCTGCAACAGAAAAAAATGGTCGTTCAATCAGCCACTTGTGCAACGTCTTCTTGAAAGAACCAAGGTGAGACCTCTTCACTTCCATTGGTAGGATATTGTACAGCTTGGCTCCGGCGTATGTGGGCTTTCGCTGAAAGCTCGTTGTGCGGTGTACTGTCAGGTTGAAGTCCTGGGCGTTCCTCGTGCTGTATGCGTGAAGGCTTTGGTTTCTCTTCAAATTTGCGGAGTTTGCAAGGTTGATCACTTCCAGAAGGTAAATGTTGACCACAGTTAAGATGTTAAGGTCGATGAAAGCTCTTCTACAGTTGTCTCTTTCATCAAGTCCCACCAGAGTACGAATTGCTCTATTCTGAAGTACGAGCACCCGCTTCAAATTCACCTGACTTGCAGCGCCCCAAAGAACAATGCCATAACGTAAATGGCTCTCAAAAAGAGAACTGTATGCAATCCCGACAGCGTCCATGGTGCTAACACTCTTCACTCTTCTGAGGGCGAAGATGGCAGTTCAGTTCAGTCGGGTCAGCCGATCCGATAAGACGTACTGCTCCGCTACCGTATCGCAAGCTCACGTCGCGCTACTACTTCACGTGTGTGGCGTGTTTGTCTAAACGGCCTTGTGTAGTTAAAAAAGTGCTTTTTACGTACATAAATTAAAATGCCAGCTACCTGTGGCGTTTGCAACGTGGACATTGGCAGCTGCAAGTCTACTGAAGTGATAAGTTGTGCCGGTAATTGCAAAAAATCGTTTCATGTAAACTGTGTGAAAGAAGATATAGAAGAGAAGAAGGTTCGTACAGCAAAGCAATGGAGGTGTAGGGAGTGCCGAGAAGGCAGTGTAAGTTCCGGCTCAAGTACGCCGATAACAAAGGAATTTTTGCTTAAAGTTTTGGACAGTTTAAAAAAAGAACTTTTTACTGAGTTAAAAAACGTAAAAAAAGAAGTTTCCGAAATGTCGCAATCCCTGAATTTTCTTTCAGAAAAAGTGGACGAATCTACCAAATTAATGGAAAATTTAAGATCGGAAGTGCAAGTTCTGAAAAAAGAAAATGAGGTTTTGCGAGAAACAGTCACCGACCTACAAGACCGGACTCGATCACTGGAACAATATACCCGACGCAGCAACATCGAGATTAGCGGTATCCCAGTCACCCCCAGGGAGGATGTCATCCAGTTGGTGAAGGACGTAGGTGCAGTCATCGGCCTGGAGGTGGAGGAGTCCCAGATCAACGCAGCACACCGAGTACCCAGCTTCCGCAAAGACCGGGTCCCTTCCCTCGTGGTCCAGTTCATCGGCAGATCCACTAGAGACACGTGGTTGAAACAATTCAGGGAGCTCAAGGAATCTGTGACTGTGGACCAGGTAAACTCGTCTTTCCCAAAAGCGAAACTGTACATTAATGAGCACTTGTCTCCAGCTAATAAGGTGTTTTTGTCTGACTTGAAAAAGAAATGTGCTGAAGTAGGCATCAAATACGCGTGGTGCCGTGAGGGAAAATTCTTTATCAGGAAGGCTGATAAGGATAAGTGTCGCAGGATTTACAGTGAGGCTGACATCAAAAAGCTCAAATAAACCATCGTCAAAAGCAATGGATACATACTGTCCTATATTGAGATCATTAATTGCTTCCAGGGATTTCACTTTCCTTATTTACATATTTAGTTTTAGTTCCATTTTTGAATAGATTTTAAATGTACATATCGTAATTTGTATGGTAGAGAATAGTGATTATTTACTATCCTTAAACAGCAATTTTTTTGAATTAGATGATGTCAACTCAAATAATGTATTCACCTTAATATATTGCAACATTAGAAGCTTACGACAAAACTTTAATAATTTTTTAATAGAATTTTCTCAATTAGAACAAGATATTACCTTTATTGTATTAAGTGAAGTTTGGATTAACACCGATGAGTTAAATTTATTCAATATTCCAAATTACAACATTTTTGCACGTTGTAATGACTCCTACAGATCAGGTGGTGTCATATGTTACGCTTTAAAGGATATATGTGTCACAGAAGCAAATGTAAACAGTATGAGGACTGCTGACACGCTCCTCTTAAATATAAAAATTAGTAAACATTATTTTAAACTATTTTGTATATATAGACTGCAAGAGTTTACTGAGAAGGATTTTGTAAACGAACTAGAATCTTATATGAATTATTTTACTACAAATACAATTTTGCTGGGAGACGTTAATATCGACCTGTTAGATGGAAAAATAAATTCTAAAAACTATCAGTACCTTTTAGAGAACAATGGGTTTTTATCAATAGTTAAGAATGCTACTAGAATCACAACAAATTCTAAAACACTAATCGACCATATTTTTATTAAACATAGGCAAGTAAATAGCTTTAAGCAAGCAATATTTGATTTGAATATAACAGATCATTGTTTATTGGGTCTTAAATTTAATGACATTTCTTTAGACCAAGACAAAAAAAAAGTATTTTGCGAGAAGCAGACTATAGATTTTGATAAGGTTATTGGTTGTTTAAAGTCTATTAGTTGGGACGAAGTTTTTAATGAAAAAAATATTGATTTATGTTATGAGAAGTTTAATTTAATTTTAACTGACGTTGTAAATAAGTGTTCTAAAACCATTTCAATAGATAAGAGTCTTGCTAAGGCCAAACTACTAAGTCCTTGGATGACGACAAGTCTCTTAAAAAAAATACGTAGAAGAAAAAAACTGTACGTGTTAACCAAAAAAAGGCCATATGATTTAGTTTTAAGGAATCACTATAAAATGTTCTACAATAATTTAAAACTCGAAATGGATAATGTCAAAAAATTGTATTATTCAAATCATATTCGAAATGCTGATGGTGACCCCGCTAGACAGTGGAGGGTCATAAATAGCCTAACTGGTGAAACCCGTAATCAGTGTTTTGATAAGGTTGAGCTTGAGGATGGAACTATTGACAGTGACTCACAAAGTGTAGCAGATAGAGTTAATCATTATCTGATGAACATTGTGCAACCTGATAACGATACACCTTCACTGGCCGACCTGGGTCTACATCAGCGTTGCCAATCTTTTTTCATTGTGCCAACCACTGAAAACGAAATTATAGGTGTCATTAATGGTTTTAAAAATAAAAAATCTTCGGGTTTCGATAATTTTAATGCATTATTAGTAAAAAAAATAGCTCAATACATTGCACCTGTTTTAACCTATATTTTTAATAAAAGTTTTAGTGAAGGTATTTTTCCTACTAAGTTAAAGTTAAGTGTCGTAATACCAATTTTCAAGAAGCCAAACTTAATAAAATTGAACAACATAAGACCAATCAGTCTACTTTCATCTTTTTCTAAGATATTGGAGAAGCTAATGGTTAACAGACTAGTAAAGTATTTCAATCAAATAATTTTTTTTTCTCAATGGCAGTTTGGGTTTCAGCGAGGAAAATCTACAGAAGATGCTCTGTTGAATTTTACAAATTTAATATATTCAAGTTTTAACAATGGCAACAAAACGACAGGTCTCTTTGTTGACTTTATGAAGGCCTTTGACCTGGTTAACCATAATATCTTACTATTTAAGCTTGAGGCAGCTGGTATCAGAGGTGTGGCGCTCAATTGGTTCCGCAGCTTCCTGACTGGCAGAGAACAGCAGGTACGGGTAGGTGACTGCCTCAGCAGACCACTGCCCGTAACTGTAGGTGTGCCGCAGGGCTCGGTTACCTCAGCAATTTTATTCCTTGTTTTTATTAACGATTTGCTTGACAAGAATTTTAAAGGTCAAATCCAAGCTTTTGCCGATGATATTGGTTTTCTTTATTCTAATAAGGATAAGGAAGTTTTAAAAATGAATTTAATGTTTGATTTAGACATACTCCAAGATTGGTGCTTAAAAAACAAAATGAAAGTTAATGTTAGTAAAACAAAGTTTATAAATTTTGGCTACAGAGAATTTTCTTTTTCATCTCCTATTTTGTATCACATACAAGGCTGCCAACGTGTAGATTGCCAATGTGAGGAAATTGAGAAAGTTAAATCATTTAAATACCTTGGGATACACTTTGATGAAAAATTTACGTGGGAAAAACACATTCAAATTCTGCATGCAAATGTCAAAAGATCAATTAGAAAATTTTATTTCTTAAAACATTTTTGTGAAGAACATTTATTGAAAACACTTTATTACGCACTAATACATTCACGTTTGCAATATGGATTAATATGCTGGGGAGGTACTTTCAAAAGTTTCATCAATCGTTTAAGAACAACTCAAAATCATTTTTTAAGAATCATTTTTAATAAACAGTTGAGAGAAAGCTCATTTCCGTTATACTTTCAATCAAAAATAATGCCGATTCAGAATCTTTTTATATTTAAAGTATTAAAATTGTTTTATCTTAAAAGTGGGAACAATGGAACTGATAACCTATATTACAATACCAGAAGTGTAGATAATTTGTTTTACAGGACCCCTAAAGTCAACAAAGAACTGTTCAAGCATTCGTATCTATTTTTGGGGCCTTTTGTTTTTAATATGTTGCCAATTGATATAAAAAGAAGTAACAATGTTAATAGTTTTTGTAAAAGGTTGAAAGAATGGTTATGTAATATAAATGATACTTCGTTGCTTCGTAATGTTTTAGAATAAAATCTATGTTTTTCACATCGTTAAATTGTAGTACGTTTTTTATATATTTTGTGTTCATTATTTACATTTCAGGCAGTCAGATATGTATATTTTAATTTTTAGAAGTAGACTTAATTTCAATATGTAACGCTACAGGTAGCAGCAGGAGTGATAATTTTAGTAATGGATTGATAAGACTGAACTCTTCATTTCATGTATAGATTAGATAAGTTTTGTGTACACTGGCCACAATTACTGGACAAAGTGGCCAGTTAATTTCCGAATTGTTTTATGATTTGATGATTGTTTGTTTTTGAGGAAATAAAATTCATTATTCATTATTCATTATTCATTATTCATTATTCAGTGTTGAGCCTCCTGCAGAGCTCGTCAAGATGGTCTGACCATGACAGCGAGCTGTCAAGTACCACACCTAAATACTTCGTGGCCTCAACACTTTCAATGTCAGGGAAAACGGACACCTCCTCCTTCCTATGACCAAAATTGAGCTGATTTGTCTTCTTTACATTGAATACGAGATCGTTCATATTACAGTACTCTACTGCCATATTCATAGCAATGTAAGATCGGACTTCCAGGTCATCTCTGTTTTTGCATGACATAAGGAGTACCGTATCATCGGCATACATTATTGACTTGCAAAAAGGCTTCGTGTAAGCGGGAAAGTCTGCTGTGAAGAGGACGAAAAGCTGAGGGCCCAGGACTGATCCCTGAGGGACGCCTCGACTTACTGGCAGTCTGTCCGATCTGATGGCGTTTTGGGTTCCATTGATGTTTTGTTTTATCTCAACCACTTGTTCCCTCCCGACTAAGTAGCTCTGAAGCCACCTCAACCCAGCACCTCTGAATCCCAGAGTATTGAGTTTTTTTAATATCAATTCGTGGCCAAGGCAGTCAAAGGCCTTACTTAAGTCTAGGAAAATGCCCATGACATTATCACCTGCTTCGAGTTTATCTATTATGTGCTCAAAAAGAGACACAAGAGCTGTAGAAGTGGATTTGTTCCAGGTGAATCCATGTTGCTCCTCGAGGACGATGTTGTTTCTCTCCAGATGCTTGACAATTTGCTGGAAGACAATTTTTTCCATCAGCTTCGAGAAAGTTGAGACCATTGAGATGGGTCTGTAGTTTCCCATTTCCGTCCTGCTTCCTGACTTGTAAAGGGGAATGACCTTGGAAAGCTTCATTTTGCTAGGTACATGTCCTTCCTGGAAACTTAAATTGATAATATGTAGCATAGGTCCTACAAGTTCATCCTGGCACCGCTTCAGCATCAGCGAGGATACCTCGTCAAAGCCCGACGATGTTTTATTCTTCAATCCACCTATGACGCGGAGGAGCTCATCCTTAGAAGTAGGAGTGAACTCAGTCATGTGATGGGCAATCTCCCAATCACATGACTGCACATGGTTCGTCTTTTGGTTCTTAATTTTCTCAAGTGTGACTTCAGCAATCGAGGTAAAGTAGTTATTAAATTCATTACATATGTTCACTGGGTCACTCATTACTACTGCATCTAATTTAAGCTTGACCGAGTTAGTGGGTTCTTTCTTCTGTTTACTCTCGCTGTTGATGACTCTCCACACAGCCCTACTTTTGTTGCTTGATTCTGCTATGTAGGTGGCGTTTGCTTCTTTTCTCAGTGACCTAAGTTTCATATCATACGATCTCTTCAGTTCGTTAGCTGTATCCCTGTCTTCACTTCTTCCAGTCAGAATAAACGTGTCAAGGGCATCTAGAAACTGTGCCTTCAGCTGGCCAGCTTCTACATCAAAAACTTGCTTGATGGGATTATAAGGCCTAACCCGAGCTTTCATCAGAGGACAGGATGAATTCAGAGAAAGAGTCAAATTCGTAATGAAACTGTTGTATGCCTCCTCAGAGTTATCACGCTCGTACACTGTCTCCCAACCTTGCGCTGAAAGATGGCCCTTCAGATCCCTAATGCTATTACTGTTTATTTGTCTGCGAGTTGTCGTGATGGTAGCGTTCATCCTTGATTTGGTCGATATCCTAAACCATTGTCCAGTGTGATCTGAAATACCAGTTGAGGCAACCTGGAAATCCACCTCATTTAAGCTATCAGAAGAAATACAAAACATGTCAATCGACGATGAGGTCTGTGCAATTAACCATGCACACTACTTTATTTATTTATTTATTTATTTATTTCAAACGGCGATACACCAATACAAAAGTAATACAAATATGATGGGTTGAAAACAATGTCCAGTTTCACAGTTTGATTTAACACAGAATGAATTTAAAACAACTACATCCAACAAACAATCAAATTTTCAAATTAGTTCAAAAAAGGCAAGGTCGTAACATTTCATTTTTAGTAAGCAATAATAAATGAAGAATAAGACTCCGAAAAAGAATAACAATAATTTAAACTTTTACAAAAAAGATAACAATAATAGACTTCAACAAATAGTAACAATAACAAGACGACAACAAAACCTATAATGACATAATTCGATAAGATCAGCAACAATTTCTTTCAACAAGAATATAACTATACAAATGATGACAATAACAACGATATGATGACAGTACGTAACAATACTTCTGAGTGGATACTCATGCAGATGTTGCTTAATTATTACCTTATTACCATCTTCTTAGCCGTTGGCCCATCTTATGATGGGAATAGGCTGTGTCAGCGTAAAAACAAACTTATTTTAATTTCCGCACATATGTATAAGACTCACAAGGACTCACAAATTTTAAAATATGTAAAGAAACATACTTTAGTACTCATGGCGGTCACGTTACTAATTCAGCTCATCCGAACTACCTTCCAGGAATTCCTTTATTGAGAAGTGGGGATTTAACATGCAATAGGCAAACATAAATATACTGGTTAATCACTGTCAAGATAATATCTTCGCTGACAAAGAGTGGTTTACAGTAACAGTGTGCTTTAAAAGCTGAGTTTGTGATTATGCGCATCGCCTTTTTTTGTAAGCGCAAGACTTTGTCAATACTGGGGCCATTCCCCCACAGACGAATGCCATATGAAATTATTCCATTAAACAAGCATAATACACATTTTTCAGGTAGACTTTAGGGATCAGTTTCTTTAAATGTCACAAAAAAATCATACTCTGGATAGTCTACACATAAAATCCCTTCTAAAATGGGGATATTATCCCCAGTAATTTTGATTTTTATCCCGTTTTAGGTAAGTACTTTATCCCGCATAATAAAAAAAATCCCATATTCGTTCAACAAATTACCCATAAGTGTAGTATAAATATTCTGTATGTGAGAATCCCAGGATTCCCAGGTAAGTTTGGTGTCAACCAGCAGTAATACCTAAGAGCTTAACGACAGAATCTACATATACATCAGATTGAACATCAAACTGGCACAAGGAAAAACATATTTTTTGGGTTTTATTGGTGTTCAAAAGGATGCCATTAGCTTCAAACCAGATTGTGCCATCTGCCATCACATCAGACATAATGTTACAGAGCTCACCAATATTCTGAACAGAAGAAGGTAGTGTCATAAGCAAATAGGTGACTTTGTTACAACTAATATTTACAGGAAGGTCATTATTAAAACAAGGAACAGAAAAGGACCCAGAACCGATCCCTGGGGTGCACCACTTTTGACTACCGCATTAATCTTAAACTAAAAGAATTTGATTGATCGATTGAAGAATTTGCATTCTAAAAGCATCGATTATGTTTAGCCATTTGTATTATTATTATTTTTTTATTTTTGTTTTTAAGAGGAGTATCTTTATTGTTTAATCTATGGTTTAGCGTTCCCCATTAACCATTAAGTTCACTCTACTCTACTCTACTCACGGATTTGATTCAAACTACAGATTGAATTGAATCTGCTGATGTTCTGTTTAATCCTATGATCACTTTACTTCACTTTCACTTCATCATTTTTTACGAATGGCTGGTTGTTATGTCTGAAGTGTAAACAAACAAACAATCCAAGTGTCAAATTCAAAATAACGAAATAACAAAACAAGGTGATTGTTGAATAGGTCGAATCGTTGAATGCCCAATGAATGGTTGTCTTGCTGGGATTCTTCTTCAAAGTGCAAAGTATTGATGGCATAGATTTATTCACATATTTTAGAAGCAAGTGTAACAAATTTCAGTACCTACAGTATTTGTAATAGTTGTCAGAGGGAATAATATACTAGGCCTACTTAGGCCTAGCTTTTAAAGTTGTTTTGTTGGAAGATTAAGTCATTCCATGCAAAGGTCGTCTAAAAGTAATAATCATTACAAAGAACAACTTGCTAATAAAGTTACTAGTAGTACCAATATTGGAAAACCGTCAGTGAATAATTTTAGGCCCGAAGTCTCAAAGGTTAACAATTTTGGAAAGGTCAAGGCGGATACAACGACCGACTTTAGGTCTAAGGATTTTGAATTCAAGGTAGGCTATTAGGCCTAAGTTTAAGTTAAGCCTTTATCATTTGTACCCTAACTGAGACTTAAAAAGTATAAATCATTGATTGACTTATTCATTTCGGGTACACTTCCATATCTGTTGGCACAAACAACCGAATGAGTAATATAGATTATTCAATTGTTTAATTCGATATATCGTTTGTCTAGTTAGGTTGGGTAAGGGTACACTTCCATATCTGTTGGCACAAACAACCGAATGAGTAATATTGATTATTCAATTGTTTAATTCGATATATCGTTATATCGATCGATATTTTCATTCGGTTGTTTGTGCCAACAGATATGGAAGTGTACCCTTCATTTCTTTGAAATTTTAGATTGTGTATTGCATAGGTAAGGTTTAATTTATAAGTTTCTTTTGTTTTAAGTCTAGGTAAGTTAGGTGAAACAGGGAATAAGTTAACTGGGTTACATTGTTTAGCTGGCGAAACTTTACTCGATCGCTTCTAACAAAGAATAGCCTATTGAACCAAAATCTGTTGGTGTTGGTAGAAGGAGTGGGGATGCGGTATACTATCCCCCGGAAAACTACCCCCCAGGTGAAACATGATGTCACAAAATCTGCCAACTAACCAATATGGAAGCCGTGTCCGCGACTGGAATACTACCCTCCTAGACAAATCATACTATGTAATTTTAATTTTAATTCGAGTAATTCCGTTGGATAATAGAAAAGGCATGTGGTGAATATAAAACAGATTTTTGAAATATTACAGTAAGTTTGGTTGGTTAGGTTAGGTTAGATTAGAACTGTTTGACAACTAAATTTGAGTGTCCGTGACTGGAAAACCCGCACAGCCTCTACATCTCCTACGCTCCCCCCTCGACGTTTCACACTCAATACTACGTTGTCTTTATTCATTGTTTACATATTGTTCTTTATTTATTGCCTAACGTTGTCATGGTCTATATCTTGTAACGTTATTTTCTTGTTTTGGAACTAAATCCCTAGTGAGACTGATCACCTTACTAATGACAATATAATTGAAGTGACGCGCACCTTCAATGTTTGGATGAATATAAACAGAACTGACAGAAAATTGTCAACTCTGCCCTGAAGGCACTAAATAAAGTCCACAAATGTATTGGGCTCAGCGTGGACAGCGCTATCGATCGGTCATTTGCCGAACAGCTGATTGCGATCATGTCTGTACTGGAGTAGAGGAGCACATGTGGACGCTCGTTAACGACGAAGAGGTTAGTTGAGGAGAAGCAGAGCCAACATCGTCAAGGACCCTCAGAGCACCGACGCCGGTGGATTTTCTTGGATTCCCATTTTGGAATATTCTGAGGTAAGCAGGGAGAAAAATTAATTAGCTGTTTTGTTGGACAAAAGTCATTTCACTGAATCAAGCCTTCAAATTAACTAGTTAGGATTTTAATCAAATCAATGTCGATTGGCCGTACGTTTTAACATGTTAGGGATCAAATTTGGTAGAATAAATGTAATAAATTTCGTAACTTATTTATAAATGTTATTGTAGAATATTGTTTAACTGTAAATTTCATTGTTCTGTGTAGCCTAAATTTGAGTTTAATGTCATGGATCTTTCTAATGTAAAATATTCATTTAAGGTGTAAAATATTCATTTCATGTCTATGCAAACTGGTTTCATGAATATTGTGTTGAGTATTTGTTCTTAAAGTGAAAGTTAAAAATTGTTTGTTAGTTATAAAAATTCACCAAACGTTTAGGTAAACATAATTAGGCTAATGTTTTTGATTACCAATCAATTGTGTTATATTCAGTAAATGCCAGAACCATTAAATAACTCTTTGCTTTAGGAGGTTAAACTTGAAGTTCAGAGCCCTAGATTTGACCTAGTTAGATTGAAAAGTAGCTTGACTGGTTTTATGGAAAATTTGTTACATTCTGAAAGTACTAGACGTTGCAAAAATAAATGTTTGTAATCTTAAACTAGTAAATTATGAATTTAAATGTTTCAAATATGTTTTAAAGGTTTAAATGTTGTACTGTATTTGTGTGCTTATAAATTGTTATTTTCAGGTAAAATCGTTTTAACATAGCTGTATTTGAAAACAAAATCATTCATTGAGTATCTAATTATTTTGCATTTTAATGTTCATAAAACACTTGTATTTTAGTAGCCATTATTTTATTGCCAAATGTTTGTATAGTTAAAAATCTGTCCATGAGTTTATGTAGCCTATTCTGTTTAAAAATGTAAATATCTGCAGTTTAATTAATGTGTTTACCTTTGAGATTTTAAAATATAATTTTGCCAATTTGTTCCAAGCATTTGCTAGAAAAATGATTATTTGTCACAGTTAACTAAAGTTCTCACTGTACATAAATTTTTGGGTGTTAGGAATTTTCCTCAGATAAAATAGTGTTACTAAGGCACGTACTATTAATTTACTGTGTACACACAGGGTTTTTTATACCGACCCACTGCTACCGGACTTGTCACTACTACGAGAGGCTACTGTTTGGACATCTCTGGACGCCGCCTTGGTGTCAGCCGCTCACGTACCGACCTGCCGCTCACGTACCGACCTGCCGCTCACGGCCTACCGCTCGCTCAACTGTTGGACCATACGTTTGCCTCAGAGACCCGGTCCGGCAGGATATCTTTTGTCTTTTGGACACTGTGTATGAAGTCTACATTTGGTGAGTGACTTTAAGATTATTTATCTCCTGTGCAACGGACACTTGGACAGTGGCTAGTGAATCGTCGTGGGACATCCAGGACCTACGGATTTATTGTATATTTGTATATTGTAATATTTTGTGCTTTGTATGTTGTCTGTTATAGGTGTTCCGGTGGCCACCGTCATTATGTACCATTTATGTAGATTTAAGATGGATCCTGTTTGATTGATTATTATCGATTATTGATTAAGGGTTACTTATTAATTATTGCTGAATATTGATTTTGATTATTGAATTTTTATGATTATGGTAAATTGATTATTATTGATTATTGAGTGCCGATTATTGATTATTGATTTCAGATTAATAATTCGGATTATCTCTGAATATTGATTATTGATTCTTGACTATTGATTACGGATTATTGATTAGAAAACGTAATTATTAAGTACTGCTCTCATATTGCTTTTGAAACTGATGTTGATTTAAATTACCTTTGCTCATTAAACTGTATAAGTTGAACTTGATTTGTTATCAGGGCATTCTTATCTTGAGATAAATAGAGCTTATCATACATATTTGGATTTTTATTTGACATTCCAGTTAGTTTCTATTTGGTTGAATTATTTTAGAAAATCTTTATAGCTACTATAGTTCTTAAGTATTTTGAGTGATTTTGGTGATCATTAAATTTAGGTATTTATCGATTAGATAAATGGTTAGGGCAATTCAAGTCAATGTAGAGTATGGTCAATTGACATCACAGGTGTTAGGTTTACCCTGCTTACCACAACCATAGGCAACACTACTGGGAGATTGGTTCCTTGTGACAATCGACAGACAATTTGCCCATATCACAAGGTGGCGCCCCTTCAATTAAATACTATTCATCGTAGTGTAACACCTCACTGGCCTATGACACATCCCACCCCGCCCATTGAGCTAGTCTGGAGCAAACTTGTTGGTAGTTGGTCAAATTAGACAAACTGTTACAAATGGCGCCCTGAACGTGGGACCAGTGTGCTTGACCCATCTACTATTGACTCTACTTGAATTGTTTTTCGATTGAAATATTCAAAGCTGATTTATTTATTGTTGTTTTGATTGTGTATATTATTGGAAATTTGAGATTACATCATGATCCCTACTAGTGTTTACCATTTGCGGAAGTCTGAAGTCGAATATGAGCTGAAGATTAGAGGTCTATCCGAGGAAGGTTCTGCAGGAGAGTTAAGAAAACGTCTGGCACAGAGTTTACTTTCTAAGGTGGTTATAGATGTCTCTGTTGTAAATAATATGGATACTGAAGCGGAGTTGGAAGAGTGTGAGACTACATTAGGGGACTTGTCTTCAAAAATATCGGAATATGATGGGAATTTTCGAGATAATGAGTATCAGCGGTTGTCTACTAGGCTTATGTGTTTGTCTGATAGGGTTGGAAGAATCCCAGTTTCTGCTCCAAAGGATGATGAACTTGAGACGAGGAAATTACAATTGTCAGAGAATTTAAAGCAGCTCTTGGCCGATTTCGTCCCAAAATCTTCTCCATCTGCGATTTCCAGAGAGGGAGTTCTTCAAAACAGAACTGATGCTGTGTTACCAGAAACTGCTCTTCAGACAAAGGCTATGATTGGTACACCTACAACTTTTGTCACAGATCTTGTATCATTTTCTAACACTTCTGGTGAAGATAACATTCAAACATTGCCAGAACCACAACCATCCGCATCTCGAGTGATGACTAAACATGAAATACCCAATGAATCCAACAAAAAATATCCCGATGGCTCTATGATCAGATCAATTCCTGTTTACAAGTGGGGTCTCAAGTTTGACAATTCACCTGGCCAGAGTATAGGTGCATTTTTGGAACGAGTGGAAGAATTGAGGAGAGCAAGAGGTTTGAGCCCAGCAGAATTATTTCAGTCAGCGGTTGATTTGTTTTCAGGATCAGCTCTTATCTGGTATAGATCGACTATCTCTAGAATCAAATCATGGGAAGAACTTTGCAAGGAAATGAAGATAGTATTTCAAGCCCCCGACTATGATTTTCGGCTACAACAGGAGATTTTCTATCGGACGCAAGGAGAGACTGAGCCAATTGACATGTTTATTGCGGCTATGGAAAGCCTATTTGTTCGATTAGCTACAACCGTTCCCGAAGAAACCAGATTGAAACAGATCATTCACAATTTACACCCTCACCTTCATGATCGGCTGGCACTGTTTAATATCACTACAATAGAAGAACTCCGTCAGCTGGGAAGGAAAGCTGAGGCTAGTCGTCTGCGTTCCAATCTTAGATCAGTGCCCCATCCAATGCCAATACTAGAGCCTGATTTGGCATATCATGATCAGAACAGAAAGAGGATCTTTCCAAATCATAAAGTAGCTGGTGCTTATGTCCAGTCTTCAACTCCATCCACATTTAAATGTTGGAATTGTGGTTCAACAGGCCATCGTTACATGCAATGTACCCAGGATAGAAAACGATTTTGTTATGGCTGTGGACAACCAAATGTAACTAAAGCGTACTGCCAGAAATGCTCACCAAAAAACGGGCAAGGCAGGGAGCCAGCACCAAGAACCTAGTTGACTCCCTGGGATTTAAAGATGACTCAATCGATCATACTGCTGATAAAATTGCTAATGTCTCTTACCTAATAGAAACTCACGAGAATGATCCAAGACCATATTTGACTGTTCGTGTATTTGGCAAAGAAATAAAAGCTTTGCTAGATAGTGGAGCCTCTCAAACTCTGATTGGTAAAGAAGGCCTTTGGATTGTAGATAAATTTCCTGCCCACTTGCACACTCTTACGGGAAAATATGTTGAAACGGCAGATTCAAAAAGGCATCAAGTGATTGGCTATATTATCCTTCCTATCACCTTGAAGGGCAAAACTGAGAATTTAGCCGTACTGATAGTTCCCACCCTTCAACAGACTTTGATTCTTGGTATAGACTTTTGGTCCTGCATGCATATAGTTGCTGATATTCATAACAAGCAATCGAATTTTTCTAAGAAAAATCAGGTGCACTTTTGTTTCTCGATTGAGGGAATTAAAGCTGAAGAATGTTTGACTACGGAACAACGTCAAAAACTTAATAGCTTGGTGGAAGATCATTTTAGTAAGGGCTCATTACCCATTGGAAGGACGGACAAAGTAAAGCATGTGATCGATACAGGCAATGCTCCAGCGGTAAAACAACGCTACTATCCTATCTCTCCAGCTCGTCAGAAACTAGTGAACGAAGAACTTGACAGAATGCTTGAATTGGGCGTAGTAGAACCATCACACAGTGAATGGTCATCTCCTATTCTTCTCTTGGATAAACCGGACGGATCTAGAAGATTCTGTGTGGATTTTCGTAAAGTAAATGGATTATCTAAGAAAGATGCATATCCCCTACCCCATGTGACTACAATTTTAGATCGTCTTCGTGACGCCAGATACCTTTCTAGTTTGGACATCAAAAGTGCCTACTGGCAAATTCCTTTAGACCCATCAAGTAAAGAGAAAACTGCCTTTACCATTCCAGGCCGTGGTCTATTTCATTTCGTGACCATGCCGTTCGGATTGAGTAATGCTCCAGCAACGTGGCAGCGCTTTGTAGATAATGTCCTAGGTCCAGATCTCGAGCCAAATGTATTTGTTTACTTGGACGACATTATCGTTGTTACTCAAACTTTTGAAAAGCATTTGGATGTTCTCTCAGAAATTTTCCGAAGAATTGAGGATGCCAAATTAACTCTGAACCAGAATAAATGCCAGTTTTGTCGACCAGAACTTCGCTATCTTGGTTACGTTGTCAGCGAGAAGGGTCTGAGAGTAGATCCGGATAAGGTTCAGGCCATAGTGGATGTTCCCATTCCTCGAAGCCAGAAAGAAGTAAGGCAATTTTGTGGAACCGCGTCTTGGTATAGACGATTCATACCTAACTTTGCAACAAGAATGTACCCATTAACTTCACTTCTGAAGAAAAGGAAATCATTTAATTGGACACCAGTAGCTCAAGAAGCCTTCAATGACATCAAGTCTTGCCTCATTACTGCCCCTATCTTATCATGCCCCGACTTTTCGAAGCCGTTCATAATCTCTTGTGATGCGTCAGGAGTTGGCTTAGGCACTGTACTTAGTCAGCAGACCGAGGAGGGAGAAGTAGTTATCGCATATGGCAGCAGGACTTTGACAAGGCAGGAGCAGAACTATTCCGCTACCGAGCGAGAATGCTTGGCTGTTATATGGGCCATTGAGAGATTTCGCCCTTACGTAGAAGGAACTAAATTCACAGTTATTACAGATCACTACAGCCTTCTTTGGCTCAACAATCTCAAAGATCCTCAAGGTCGCTTAGCAAGGTGGGCTCTCCGTCTGCAGCCTTACGATTTTAATTTGGTCCATAGGAAAGGAAAAGAGAATGTTGTTCCCGATTTACTCTCAAGAGCTGTTCCCCCTAATAGTGACATTCCTCTTCGTTGTGATCTCGTAGTTACTGGAGAAATAAAGGACAATTGGTACTTAAAGATGATGAAGGAGGTGGAGGAAAAACCCGAGGACTACAGTCAATGGCGTGTTCAGGATGGCTCATTGTGGAAGAAAGTTGGTGATGGAGCAACCCTGATTTCAGAAGAACCAGAATGGAAATTGGTCTTACCAAAGAATTTTCGTCAGCAAGCTTTACAGGAGTGTCATGATGCCGTGACATCTGGTCATCAAGGAGTTTTGAAAACTTACCGAAGAATCCAGCTCAAGTACTATTGGCCGAAGATGCGGAAAGACGTAGCTACGTATGTTGCCCGCTGTAAAGTCTGTCAAAGTGTCAAATATGACCAACAAAAACCAGCTGGTGTTATGGGAGAGTACCGTGGGGTTAACATTCCTTGGAAGATGATTTCTGCCGACCTCTTAGGACCTTTCCCTCGTTCAGTTAAAGGAAACAAGTATCTCTTAGTTGTCGTTGATACCTTCACGAAATTTGTCTTATTGAAACCTTTACGAGCAGCAACAGCTCAGGCAGTGTCTACGTTTCTTGAAGAAAATGTATTTATGGTCTATGGAGTCCCAAAATTTCTCATCTGCGACAATGGGTCTGAATTTATTGGTCAGCCTGTCAAGAAGCTTGCATAACAATACGAGGTGAAGATGCTTCTGAATGCGAGTCGTCATCCACAAGCCAACCCGACCGAACGAGTCAACAAGAATATAGTAACAATGCTGCGTGCCTATGTAGGGAACAACCACAGACATTGGGATAAGCATGTAGCTCAGTTGGGATTCGCACTGAGATCTTCAGTCCACGAGTCTACAGGCTATTCTCCAAACTTCCTTAATTTTGGAAGAGAACTTCCTATATCCGGAGCAGGATTTGGATTTCTTCGTGACGAGGAAACTGTTCCCGAAGTTGAAGACTGCCAACGGTACACGGAGAGGCTACGAGACTTGAAGAACATCCATCAAGAAGTTCATGAACTCCTCAAAGATGCTCACCAAAGGAACGCTAGGCACTACAACTTACGGAGGCGCCCTCAAGAGTTTAAGGAAGACAGTCTGGTATGGAAGAAGAACTTCACTCAATCAGATGCCGCAAATTACTACTCAGCCAAACTGACTCCAAGATATGTAGGTCCGTACAGAGTGGTCAAGAAAGTATCTCCTTTGATTTATGCCCTAGAAGATATGCAGGGAAAAGCAATTGGAAACTGGCACATCACCGATTTGAAGCAGTATGTCTAACAATGGTCTGGAGTGGACTTTGAGAAAATTTAGGAAATTTTCTTCTGGCAGGGGGGTATTTGTAACGTTAGTTTCTTGTTTTGGAACTAAATCCCTAGTGAGACTGATCACCTTACTAATGACAATATAATTGAAGTGACGCGCGCCTTCAATGTTTGGATGAATATAAACAGAACTGACAGAAAATTGCCAACTCTGCCCTGAAGGCACTAAATAAAGTCCACAAATGTATTGGGCTCAGCGTGGACAGCGCTATCGATCGGTCATTTGCCGAACAGCTGATTGCGATCATGTCTGTACTGGAGTAGAGGAGCACATGTGGACGCTCGTTAACGACGAAGAGGTTAGTTGAGGAGAAGCAGAGCCAACATCGTCAAGGACCCTCAGAGCACCGACGCCGGTGGATTTTCTTGGATTCCCATTTTGGAATATTCTGAGGTAAGCAGGGAGAAAAATTAATTAGCTGTTTTGTTGGACAAAAGTCATTTCACTGAATCAAGCCTTCAAATTAACTAGTTAGGATTTTAATCAAATCAATGTCGATTGGCCGTACGTTTTAACATGTTAGGGATCAAATTTGGTAGAATAAATGTAATAAATTTCGTAACTTATTTATAAATGTTATTGTAGAATATTGTTTAACTGTAAATTTCATTGTTCTGTGTAGCCTAAATTTGAGTTTAATGTCATGGATCTTTCTAATGTAACAGTTGGTCAAATTAGACAAACTGTTACAATCTTCAAAGACAGGTGGCGGATATAAGTTATCCGCTGCTTTTCTACTCATCCGCGGACGGGTAGCGGATATATCCGCATAGTTAAAAACGAGTAAAAAATTATTTTGACAAGTATTCTATTGTGTTTACGTATACTTGTACAACAAAACACAAATAAGGAAAATTAATTTTTATTTTTTCCTATAATTTTTTTCCGTTCTATGTCACAATTTCGCCCGTACGGGAAGGGTTAAAAGTCCTGTGAAACTTAATTTCATTATTTTGGTACTTCACTACTTCTGCTGCTTAGTTTCATAGTACGGAGCAAAGTATGGACTAATTTGATGCGACTGAGGTCCAAACCGTTTAAATGGAAATATCTCCAACGGGGATCTAGAAGACCAAAAACTCAAAAATGTTTCCAAAGTATTTACTGTCAAAGTTAGGTCATTTTTGATCTTCATTAATGCGACCACATATTTTTAGTATGTAACAGAATCAGAACTGCAAGCAGCCGTGAAACAAGTTAGAAGAGCAAGACTCAAGAAGCTAGATGAAGAGAAATGGCAACACTTTTTAAGATGGAAAACTTCCGAATCAACTGCATACTCTGAAGATAATGACAGTTATCAATTCTGTAGAGGAACTATCAGCCCAAAACATGATCTCGCTCACCCTCCCGTCGAGTACAAGGTTGGAAATGGCTGCGTGTAGCCTTTACTGAATAACCTCTGTGATGTCACATTTGTCTGTTAATAACAATAACAGTTTTAGTAAATATATCTTTTGAAACACTTTGAACTTTATATTTATTCATTGTAAAGAGTTATTTGGAAAAGATACTACTGTACTTATATTTTGTTTGTACATTAAATAATACTCAAGATATGTAAAAAATGATCATGCGTTAATCTATGATCAGCATTCACTTATTTTAAGCAGATAATTTAACTTTTAGTTAGGCGTATCTCAAAAAGTATACGGTAATATTTGTGTTTTATTTAAGTTCCAAATAAAGTCACGCCACCTTTTGGTGTAGACTAATTTGTACCAGCCACCATTAATTGCCCTAAAATATTTACCTAAGAATGTTTTTTTCTGTAAAAGCTTTTAGCTGAGTCACCAATTAAGTGCTAAAAATTTAGTTTTTTAAGATGTTGAATGAATTTAAAAGAACATCAGATTAGCCAGTAAGGGCTCCACAATCCTATTTTTAACTAGGTTCTATTGTAGCAAAAGTAGCCTATTTTAAACCCTAATTTTATGCAGTATGTTGTGAATTCTGATTCATTTTAATGGTTGGGTTTTTGTAGCCTGAACGTTTTCAAGAAATGCCAAAGGTGGAGGATGAAATTCAAGAAAATTTTAAGGGGATGACAGCACTTCCATTAGGAGCCAGCATTAGTGTCAGCGATAGCATCGGCCACGCTTATCAGGTGAATGATTTCTCTCCAATTAAGTTTTTGCTAAGACAATGCTTTAAAATGTTCACCATGAATCCAGACTCTTACTTTGTGTGTAAAATTGTATTAGTTATACCTGTTTTTTCCATGGTACATTCATAATGTATTTTTCATCTGAGGTCTGTCATCTTAACTTTGCTATGTTTATTATTAGGGATGGACGGGTCCCGAAATTTCGGGAAAAAAATATTCCCGATTATCGGGACGGGATTACATTTGACTCGGAAATTTTTCGGGACGGGATTTGGTCCGATCGTCGGCGATTTTGTCGTCCGATAACGCCGTTATTGCGAACGATAGGTCCGCGAACGCAGGTCATACTGACGATCGCGCCGTGACCGCGAGTCATGACGACGATCGCGCCGTGACCGCGGAGTCATGCTGACGATCGAGCCGTGATCGCGAGTCATACCGACGATCGCGCCGTGACCGCGAGTCATACCGACGATAACCCCGTGACCGCGGAGTCATACCGACGATCGTGCCGTGACCGCGAGTCATACCGACGATCGCGCCGTGACCGCGAGTCATGACGACGATCGCGCCGTGACCGCGGAGTCATGCTGACGATCGAGCCGTGATCACGAGTCATACCGACGATCGCGCCGTGACCGCGGAGTCATGCTGACGATCGAGCCGTGATCGCTAGTCATACCGACGATCGCGCCGTGACCGCGAGTCATACCGACGATAACCCCGTGACCACGGAGTCATACCGACGATCGTGCCGTGACTGCGAGTCATACCGACGATCGCGCCGTGACCGCGAGTCATGACGACGATCGCGCCGTGACCGCGGAGTCATGCTGACGATCGAGCCGTGATCGCGAGTCATACCGACGATAACCCCGTGACCGCGGAGTCATACCGACGATAACCCCGTGACCGAGGAGTCATACCGACGATCGCGCCGTGACCGCGAGTCATACCGACGATCGCGCCGTGATCGCGAGTCATGACGACGATCGCGCCGTGACCGTGAGTCAAACAGACGATCACCCCGTGACCCCCGAGTAACAAGTTACTATAGGTACCTGTAAATTGTTACCCATTTTTTGGCTTTTATAGATCATTGCCACAGATGGCAAAAATTGATTTCGTATGTCTTTTTTGGTAACTGTAATACAGTACTTTCTTTTTATGCACAGAAAAAAATCCCGTCCCGTCCCGAAAATCGGGAAGGAAATAAAAATCCCGTCCCGTCCCGTCCCGAACTAAAAATTAAATCCCGTCCATCCCTACTTTCCATGCATTGTTTTTCTTTTAATTTAAGATAACAATAGGTAGGGAACAATTTTTAAAAATATAACTGTTTATATTTAGTAAGGGACAGTAACATGGGTATGGTAGGATTATCAGGGGAAGCAGGACTATGGGTTATGGTCTGGGAGAGTTACAAAGAAATTGTTTAAATTCACTGAAAAAGACAAGTTATGTTTGACAAGTTTTTGGACTCTGAAATGTTGAAGAACATTTACATAAATTAGGAATTCACATGAAACAACAATCGACAACAACGCCATTGTTGATTAATTTGTCTGTTTTGTCAGCTGGGAGGAGTGTTGACCAAGCGACTACAAGACTTGGTGGCAACTGTCGGACGGATGACATCACTACTGCTCTCCTCCGTCTCCTCCCGCTCGACAAACTACGAGGACGAGGATGTTGACCGAGCTATCAAACGTAGTGTAGAGTTTGATGCCATGTTCGCTCGTAACCACCTCTACGAGATTAAGCGTCTGGTGAGTGTTTTAGTAATTGGTTGTCTTTAGCTTATGTAAATGCATAAAAATAGTATAGTTGTAGTTTTTTTCTAAACCCCTGTGGCAGACGTTTGAGTAAGTGTTTCCACTTATTAATGATAATGACTATCTTGTCTTTACAGTAAAGTAGCAATAAATAATATGGGGAATAAGTAAACTATAGTAGCCTAGGTCTATTGAAGTTTGCTTGTTTATAAACAAATTTTGATCAAATTTGGAAAATTCATTTATTTAATTCTAAACTATTCACGTTTTGTCAAAAACACCTTTTACCTTCCCCGTAGCATTTAGTGCTAGGATTATAGAATATGTTAGCTAAGAACTCGTAAAACTAATGTTATTGAAATAGGAAACGAATATGGCATTTCAAGGATATATTTTGGTAATTTGCTTAGTCTGCAGGTTTGCTGTGGCTGGGAAATTTTATTATTATTACTGTATGTTCCAGTTGAAGGATGCCAAGCAGCTAGTGGTGGGGAAGTGTCCAGGGGAGTTGGACAGCAAACTGTCTGCGGCCCTCAAGTGTGTCATCCAGGCTATCCAGGTAGAACCTATGTACTTGTTTGTACGAAACATATACTCTGTTCACAAAATTTAGGCAGTTTGAGGGGAAGTTCCCCCCCCATTTTGTGCTTAATGTATGTTACTTAACCAGCTGCTGTTGAGCCACTATTTTAAAGATAAGGGTTGAGATAGATTCTTTCCCCTAAAACCACCTTAATTTCGTGAACGGAAAATAGTAGAGTAAATAATGAGATAAGCTAAGTGTCCATTCATGTGAGGGGCGTGCCAATCAGTACCTGGACTGGGCTTACCCTTTGAAGCATGTTAGTTCATGTTGTATATTGGTGTTATTTCCATTTAAAGTTATCCTAGACACCTGACACCAAAAACATTGTGACTACCGTATGTGATTTGAACATTGTTTTGTCTATGAAAGAGGCATTTTGCATGACTAGATTAGATTTGTGTGACACAAACTTACCAGTGTATTTTAAGGTGAAGTTTAGTTAACGATGAGTGTAGAATGGGTTATGATAGCTCGGATACTGAATGTCAATTAGTTTTTTAGTCAGGATCATTTATAAAAATCCTAATTATGGACAGTTGCGACCTTCAAAATGACGTTCATATTTCTCAGGACTGAACCAGGGAACCTACTTATTATTGAAAAAAAACCACTTCCTATCATGTTTAAACTTTAAAATTTTTTTTAATTTGACAGAGATAAGCCAGAGACATTGTTTGGGAGGCTTACAATACAGCCTAATAAGTATATAGAACTGCAATTTTGTCAATCAACATGCTTGAATAACTTGATCAAGTAATGTGACGTTCTGTGGTTAGGTTTACGCCAAACATGTGAGTAAGGGAGCCAGAGTGAAGTACCAGCAAGTAGTTCCTATCTTCCAGAGTATCTCTACAATACAGAGTCTCCTGGAGCAGTTGACTGGACAAGTCGGGTTCCCCTTCCGTCAGGTACACAACAATATCAACATATAGTCCTCGCCACCCTAAGTTGAGGCAGCCAAAGGCGGCACTAGATACTTGCCGTGCGGCCTTTGGCTGCCTCAACTTAGGGTGACGAGGACTATAGTCAACTATCTCTGCTTATGCTCTTCTAACATAATATCCAACCATTGTAAATCAACCATGATAAACCAACCATCCATGATAATCCAACCATGATAAATCAACGATAGTTTAGTTTACGTAAATTGTTTTATTGGGACAATAGATGTGGAAATCATGCGAATGACACTTTTTGTGTTGCCCTCGGTAATACTACCTAATTTTATCAGTACAGTTGGTTCTAGATATTTGTTTGTTTATGGGGCCTGGAATACTGAAATGGCCAGATTATCAAATGTATAATATAAAACTAATGTCAACCTATTAAGTATCATTTTTTCAATTTCAAATCCAACAGGATCATAAAGGACATAAAACCATTTTGTCAGAAAATATTGTTTTTAAATTTACCCCACTCCAGCTCACTTTACCAATATTTCCGTAAACAAATTCCTGGTCTACAAAGAGTACATTACCACCTGCTTACTGTTTATTGTGGCAAAAAATAATTAAACAAAAATTATTAACATTTACGCTTTAAAACTCACTTTTAAATTCAGTGATTTGTTTTACTTTTATGTACATGATTTCATATTCCGAGACAAAATACTGTATACGCCTACAATATTTACATGTTCTTTAACACAGTACTCTTCTGCAATTGTGGTTTATAATATATATAAATTTGCATATGCACGATTCTATTTTATTGCTTTGATGAGAATGGAACCAAAGTCTTTAGATTCCTAGAAACCGTGAAACCGAGTTTCAAAATTAAGGGTGGACTAACCAGAAGTTTTGATCCAGGGTCAGTTAAGAGAACATTTACTGTTCAAAGTTAAATAAAAAATAAGCTGAACAGGAGTGCTCTATCTTTTAGATTTAGATTAGGGACAAAATGATTAGTTTGTTTAAAAAAAGTTGACAAAACATCAAAACTCTTGAGCTCCCACATCTATTTATTTACTGTACGATTTGACAGGAACTGGAGGTGGCGTGCAGTTACATGAAGCAGGTTCTACTGGAGATGAGCACGTCGGACACTCAGAGAGTGACGACCGTCGTGAGTCGTAAACCTGTCAGACCAAAGTCCACGGTCGGACACAAGCCCTCGGCTGATCTGTCCATGTACAACCGTCGCCGACCAGACTGGAGACGTAAGACTGCCTCCCTAGCACGCGCCAAGTTTGGCCCTCCTTCCAGCAAGAAGGTAAGCTATGGAGTTTGTAAAATATTTTAATTTTAGTTTCTTTCCAAATCGCTAAACACGGTAGCTGAGTGATTTTGTTTTGAGCTGATGATCCAGACATTGTTGGTGTGAGCAGCTGTCTGCACCATCTTAGCATTACTGTCACACATTCTGACTTGTTCATTTGACTTACTGTGACACTATGTCTTAGATCACCGTTCAGACCAGTAGCCTATGGTGTTGGGAAGTTTAGTCAATTTACTTCAATCGAAGATACAAAACTGTATCCTGGTGAATCGGTGGATCAGTCAGTGGTAGAGTGACAGCTGTGAAGTGCTGTCTCACCGCTTGCTTTACTTGATACCGTAACAAGCTTTCAAGGCTCATGTGAAAGTGCAGACGCAAGGTTAAAACAAAGAAAATATCGTAGCTTTGGACAGTGTGAGAATTTTGTGAAGTTTAGCAATTATTTAAACTTCGCCAGGTATTAACTCTGACAACAGACCTTTGAGAATAGTTTACTATGAGTAATCCGATTTCCACGTAATCTATCACATAAATTACTGATTATGTTTCAATCCAAATTATGTAGTGTGAAGAACCTGATGCAAAAAAAAATACTTCCTCATTAAGTAACGTTTAAATTGAAAGCAGTCACTAAAAAATCTTTCTAAAACCGACAAAGCTTTGATAGCTCACTAATTTTTTAAATTAAAACTTAGAGATTCAAATGATGGATAAATGTAACTAATTTCAGCTTGATCAGAATGATACTGTACCAGATAAGGTTGATTTGAACAAAAGTAAAGCTGACTTGATCAATGTTGAATCTCAACGCAGTGTCTGTGACAATGGAGTAAGTCTACTTCTAAAAATGTTATTATACCATATTTTTTTAAATTTGGCTTTACACCAGGGGTTTAAAGGATTTTGTATTGTTTATTTGTGCATTTTCATCTATTTTTCATCAGTAAGAGGTTAACCAATCCATAACAAAGTCCTTAATTGTATCATAGTCAAAAGTAATAGAAGAGTTTCTTTAGGTTACATTTGGTAGCACTAAAAACTGTTGATAGATGCCGCATTCTTATGTAGAATTAAACAAGGTTACTTTTTTTACCTTTTATTTTTTTTTGTACAATCATTTGTGTTTAGTGACTGTAGATTTGTATTTTTGAAAAATGTTCAATGGAGTGCTGTAGCTAGATTTAGAAAGTAAACTCCTTATTTTAGTTGAAACGGTAGATTAGTTGGTTGGATTGTATAAAGTTTATATGATTTATTTTTTACTTAAATGGACATTCAGCATTTTAACCAAACATGTTTGTATGAGTTTGCTAATTTTTAGATTGTGTACACAGATGATGGTTTGCTATTCAATCAAAAAGATGGAATTTTGTTCCATAAATAATTGTAAAACATATTTCTTTTTTTTATTTGCTCCTTAAATGCTTATTCTTAAAAAAACTCTTACCTTTTTGCTTGATGTATGAAAATTGAATAGATCTTACTAGAAATTGTTAACATAAGTGTTTATTAATAACTATTAGCTTTACATGTGCTTCATAATGAGATGTGTACTTAAAAGACAAGTATTTGGTGCTTTCTGATTAAAATGTTACTGTAAAGAATAGCTCTTTCTAGTTTCTACCCTAGCTCTTTCTATTGGTTATAGAACAATCTCCTAAATGTTCACTGAATTTTTAGGATGAATTGGCAAAGCACGAAGGACAAACGTACATATATATATATTACATAGATTCAAAGTTTATTTCTGTCCAGGGCCTGATTAAGGGTCTAGTCGCCAGTAGGCTGATGGTTTTTCGCGCCCCCCTCCTCCCTACCACTACCCCTCATCTCTGCTACCACTTTCAAAATTTCAAAGAATGAATTACTATTAATGGCTAAAGGCATTATACTAATATTCAGTTTATTTGAAAACACAAGAAAACTGATCATAAATAATTAATGCATGGTTTGATTAGGAACTTTTAAAATAGTAACAAATCAGTTGTTCAAGGAATGTAAAACTTTTTTATTTAAAATAATGTATTTATTTTACATTTTATTAAACATATGATTTTATTAAATCAAAAGTAGACCTAACCTAAAATATCAAAAAACCAAACAATAATATAGGCCTACGTACTTTCTAAATTAACTCTGTTAATCACCTAGGCCTAAAACAATTTTATTAGGACCTTTAGATGGAATTACAGCATTTATCTGTATTTATCTGCAACAAAAAGTATCGTTAAATGTTTTTACAAATTAATTATTATTACTATAAACTAGCTGTAACCCAAGGGCTTCACCCCGTTTGACTTTGATTGGTTAAGTTAAGCTGAAATAAACAAATAAGTACAAAGTACAGCTGAGGCATCTTTAACATTAGGTATATGGAAAGTTCCCTTTAGAAAGGAATTATGACCTTAAAGGGCAATTTATTAAATAATGGATAGTTTTGCGCAATGTTTCTCGTCATGACGAACATTTTAAGTATATATGGTTTATGGGGGTGTGACTTGTAGTTTTCTCAAAAGTTCATGGGTACTTTGGGCTTTATATATGGATATAATGATTATGAAAATCTGCCGAACGCACCCTTCCCAGTCCCATTCGCTATCTGCACGAATCCTTTTTTTGGAATAAAACCTTTTTTACACCCCCGGTCCCAACTTTAAGTCTTAGCCGTCTGGCGCCCCCCTAAAACACTTGGCTGACTGGCGCCCTAGGCTCCAGCCTAATTAGCCTAGTGGGTAATCAGGCCCTGTTTCTGTCGGTTACCACTAGACAAAGAGACCCAAGTAGTTCCAGGATATCTTAAAGAAATAAGGATATGTTATAACATTGATAAAAAAATATTTTTTCTGGGGTTTAGTTTTGTCTTGACTAGGTGTTGTTGTAGAATGCCGCGGCCAAGGAGGTGCCTCACAGAAGAGCCACGATGGCCGTGACGGAGGACAACGTCACTACGATGATGGAGATCATCACTGACGAGGTAAACACTACTCACTACTGGCAGAAATATAGTTATCTCAACGAGAGACCATTGATTGCTTGACAAACTACTTTGTCCTCAAGCCACATGTCTGTCTTTTAAAAATAACTAGATAAATAGGAGAACCATTTGTTTAATTAAACTTATGTTGATTTACACAAAATCTCGAAATGATAATTTTTACATGGCTTGCGGCGATTATTGCAACTAACAAAATTATCATTATATTTTTCCTGTTAATAACTCGTATCATTCTAATGCTGGAAATTAACTTTTGCTATTAAGTTTTTTTGGTGTTCCTACATTGAAGGGGACCAAAACTAAATGGCTTTTAACCTGATAGTGATTTCATTGTAGTTTTGTTACATAACTTTTATTCATTTTAAATTGTTGCTCAGCCAATAGAAGATGAAGAGTTATGTCTGGATGATAGTGCATTTGAAGTTCTCAAGAAACTAAACGGAAACATTGCTCCTTTACCAGATAATGTTGAGAGTCAGGTATATCAAAATAGCTTTTAAAAGTTTAACTTACAGTAGTTCGTTTTTTTAACAATTTTTTAAATGACATTCTTTATGAACAATGTTTTAGCCACCCAAATCAACTACGCATCACCTAGATATTACAATGGAACTTATAGGCTACATATGACTTTATGTGTGTATTTTATTTACGCCATTGGAAGAGTATTTTCTTCTAAGGAGTAATCAAAGATATCAAGACTGATCTAGATCATCACTCTTGAATTTTAGTCTGAGCACAGTATATTAACCTAAAAGAGACGTAGGAATTGGCTAACTCAGGAACTCGCTAACTCGGTCGTGTGTCGGAACTGGCTAACTCTGGAACTGGCTAACCGTCTCAGTCAGGAATTGGCTAACTCCGGAACCCGCTAACTCGATTTTGTCTCGCGGCGGAATTCGCTAACTCTGGAAGTCGCTAACCCAGCCGCGCCCACTGCATGGAGCGTTGCCAACCTTGCACGACAAAATAATCGTACACTGCCGTATTTCAAAATATCAGTGTCAATGAAGATACAGTAAATTTTATTGTTTTTTGTTATCAACTCCACTTTGAATAGATAACTAGCCCAAAGTAATTAAAAGACAATTAAAAATTAATTAAAAAGTGTTTTTTTATTGAACTGTACAATGGCCAATTAATTAAATGTTTATGATTTTGATCTCAAATCAAATCAAATCAAAAGTTCTTTATTGCCGTCAAAAGATCTTAAACATAAATGCTATCAGTATAAAAATAAATAATAAAATATGAAAAATATTGAAAATTCAGTTTAATTGGTACTAAATAATTAAACATCTACGTAATTAAACTAAAATACACGCAAGTTCTCAAACACGGAAAACAAATTTAATCGTAATGTCGTAATAAACCAAAACCATCAATTAATACAGTAATCAACCATTGTAACTTTCATAACTAATCCATAGATTTAAAATTAAATGTTCGTCGTTGAATCTTCCAACTTACGTGTAAAAAAATATGACATAGACTAAGTTTCATATCAATTATAGAATAGCTTATGCCTAAATCTAGGCCTAATAGTTTAAACCAAAGCATTGTAGGTCTACTAGTAAATAGTTGCCTAATTCTAAAATGTGTTGAATTTTTTAGTAATAATGTTACATGTTTTAAAACAGTTTTTAGATTGCACACCTATGTACCTCTAGTAAATAATAGGAGAAGATATAATACATATAATAAAACGGAACAGGGTTATTTTAATTCACGATTCTTAATCAACGATTTGACGGATTTTCCTGATTTGAGTGTTGGGTTTCCTTTATATTGTTTTTATACTCGAGTGTATACCAAGCCATTGCTCGGTTCCCCGTTCCCCGGTACTGAGCTACTCAATAGACAATAGCTTTGTTTTTAGATAAGATCAGGTAGTTTTAGCTATAGCCACCATTCATAAAAATGGTAACAAACAAGAACGCCTGCCTGGGTCCATTTAGAACCATAAAAACTCAAAACTTTAAAAAAGTAGTCCTACTGAAAGACGTAAAATTAACCCTAGCAGTGGCCAACCGTCGCCTGGTGACGGTATGACGTTGATGCTTAGAATGGCCAATGTCGTCTGGTGACGGTATGGGCCGAAATTATTTTAACGGTAAAAAAAAAACTTTTAATCAACTCAGATGAGAATAATATATATACCATACGAAAGATCACATTCTGAACTTTCGTTTTATTACATAAACAAACCCTGTAGCAGGTATATAACAATGTCACGACGATTAGAAATCAAATGAAATTTTGGCGCGGTACGACTTTTGCAGCCGACACTTGGGAACTGGCAAAACACGTCTTGTTTGGCATTACCCTGCTCGGGTAATTTTCGTCTTAGGATGTTGCGGGTGGTACCACTGGATAGCCATTGATTTTATCTTCATTGTGGTAGTGATATTTATAACTAAATATTGATTGCACAATCGGTACGATTTTATGAAAACAGCTGTTTTCGAAATTTCTAACAAATGGCCAACAGTCGTCTGGTGACAGTATGGAAAATACGAATTATATACAGTGAAAGTTATTATTACTAGTCATATAGTATATCATTTTGAAGAGGAAGAAATTTAGATTCAGAGAGTGGCAGCCCTGCACTGAGGGTTATTTCTGTATGCTCGCATGTAGAGGACAAGTGAGTCAGTGAGTCATTACTGCTACAGTCTGTCAGCTGTCTTGTATTGCCATTGTTTGTGTTGTTGCCGGTAGTTTTATCCGCGATTTATTACTAAATATGTTATTAGTTCGTAGTGTTAGTGTTAGTGAAGTGTTGTGTGTGTGTATAACAGTAATCTTCATGCATAAATATTACTGAATTGTGTGAAATAGTGTTCATAAAAGGTTGTATTTTGTTAGCATCATGTCCTAAAATGACGATTCTGACATTCAGAGATTGTTGTACCTATATAATGATATACCCAAGGTGTTATACATTTTTATAAAGGTAAATGAATACACTACAACATGTTTATAATGGTTTGGGGGTAAAAAATTTTGTAAAAAAGTTATAGCCTATACTAAATAGGCCTACTACTGTGTATTTTGTTAGCATCGTGTTCAAAAATGACGATTCTGACATTCAGAGGTGCTATATATGCTATATAATGATTTACCCAAGGTGTTATACATTTTTATAAAGGTAAATGAATACACTACAACATGTTTATATTGGTTTGGGTGTAAAAAATTTGGTAAAAAAATTATATAGGCTACTAAATACTGTACACTCCATTTTCTCGAAATGCGCAAAAAATTCATAACGTTCTCAAATTGATACATAATCATAGGTGAAAATAACTTTTTACCATCATACTTATGACTTTTTTGGATTCCTTACTTCATTAGCTTTACAAATATGTAGGCTACATATCATCAGCCTACATAATGTTTCACAACACAAGCAAACACTGTAGGCTATAGTTTACACTTATTTGCGGTTTTGCGGTTATTGTATTATTATGTCCCTATTACGTACCTACAAAAAAATATTTCTAACATGTTATACATTTTTATGTAGGTAATTGAATACACTACAAGATTATTATGTTGGTTTGAAGTAAACAAATTTGGTACAAAAGTTGTATACTAAGTACTGTGAATTATTTTCTCGAGAAATCGCTAAAATATAAAAATTATTTTATATACGTATGTTTATAGGTAAAAAATTATTTTTACCATAAACTTTATGACTTTTTTTGGATTCCTTACTTCATTAGCTTTACAAATATGTAGGCTACATATCATCAGCCTACATAATGTTTCACAACACAAGCAAACACTGTAGGCTATAGTTTACACTTATTTGCGGTTTTACGGTTATTGTATTATTATGTCCCTATTACGTACCTACAAAAAAAAAAAATTTCTAACATGTTATACATTTTTATGTAGGTAATTGAATACACTACAAGATTATTATGTTGGTTTGAAGTAAACAAATTTGGTACAAAAGTTGTATACTAAGTACTGTGAATTTCTTTCTCGAGAAATCGCTAAAATATAAAAACATTATTTTATATACGTATGTTTATAGGTAAAAAATTATTTTTACCATAAACTTTATGACTTTTTTTGATTCCTTACTTCATTAGCTTTACAAACATGTATATATCATTATTAGTATACACATATATTATAGAACTTTTTACAACATAAACGAGCACTGCACGGCTTTCAATTTTTTCGATTCTCCGTTTGTCATTATATTTCGCCCCAAAAACTTATAAAAAAAAATATTTTCCTAACATGTTATATATTTCTATGTAGGGAATTAGATTGTCTACAAAATGTATATAATGAATTTCCCATAAAAAAATCCGTAGAAAAAAAATGCAGAGGCCGCTTTTGAAATTTCAAAAAAAAAATTCAATTTTTTTTATTTTTTTCACTTTACCGATAAAATACACTGTCTAAATCATTATGATATTACTATTTCTAGATTCTCCTGTTCTTTCCGAACAAAATGAATATGAGGTTGGCTAGGTTTACTTGTATGGTTGAATTTTTACGAATTTTCAAAAAATGGTCTGCAAAATCGCCAAAATGGGTTGGCCATTCCCCACTTCTAACATTGGCCACTGCTAGGGTTAATATTAATCAAACAAAATTAAGAGGATGACACGGGTTGTACACTACAGTAGGCCTAATAGCCTACGATAATAGAAATTTGCAATTTGTATCTATGCATAGACAAATTTTTTATGCAATCCATTAATACATTAGGCCTACCACTTTATAATGTACTGGCAGAGTACCCGTCCTTCGTACGGGGTTGGAATATAAGTATAAAATGCTTTCTGCAGTTATACTCAATCTTTGCATTTGCAATAAGGGAGGACACAGTTTGATAAAATTTGCTTTTTCAAATTAACAGTATTCTATTGTATTACACATCTACCATAGCCATAATGTTCTACCGCTTCACCTAAACAATAGAGAAACATAAATTATCAACAATTCGCAAAATATCACAAATTATTCATGAAATGAAAAACATAAACATAACTGTAAACAATCCTACTTTGACAGTTCTCATTGCGAATCACAGTTTTTTGTTGCTGCTTAGTTCAAATTAGCTGTTTTCATAAATGCAAACAAATATAGTGCTGCACCCTGTTGGTAAATCTTATAACTTTTTAATGCTTTTCCATATCATAGAACCAACTTTTTTAGTTGAAACAGCTGACTATAGTTATTTGTGCAACTAGTGAGAAAAGTGAGCAATTGACTCACTCGAGAGAAATCCTTACTCACGAGCCGTAGGCGAGTGAGGAATGGTTTCTCGAGTGAGGCAATTGTACTTTGAACTCGAGTTGCACATTATACTTTTCCTACAGTTACCATAAAACAAATAAATTGGTGAAGAAACATAACCTATTTTTACACAGAAGTGAACTTTTAATATAACATTTAATGTGAAGTGACAAATACAACAGTACAACAGCTGACCAGCTGATTTACAGCCAGTGCTGCCAACGTATTTCACGCGCATACTACGTTGCCTGCATGTTACGCGCTCACTATTTCTTGCCTTTACGTTGCAAATCTGGAGTGAGACAAAGTAATTAGAGTGAGACAATGTTAACATTGTCTCACTAATGAGCGAATTGGCCACTTTGCTTTCTCAAATCAGCGAGAGAACATGAACATTGTTAGGTAACTGTAGGAAAAATTCTTTAATTCCATTTAAATATGAATACTCATAAGGTTGACATGGGGAATTACAGAGCCACTGGGGCGGAGCCCGAAAGGATTTTTTAGATAAGAATATGCCTATATGTTAATCGGGAATGTAAGCTATCATCATGCCAAATTTCAGCCCAATCCGTCCAGTGGTTTATGCGTGATTGAACTTCAAACAAACAAACAAACAAACACACAAACTTTCGCATTTATAATATTAGTAAGATTGATCAATATTTATTTTAATTCAATAGCTCTATTTTTAAATAAATTACCACTGCAATGCATTTCTGTAATGACGTTTAACGTGTAAATTTTATCATGATTTATGATTCAATTTTATGATTAAATGTTACGAACCCAGTATATAAAATACGAACTTAATAATTTTAATGCAGAAGTTAACAAAATGGTATTTATTTGAATAAAATAAACAAATGGTGGACTACGAAAATAGATATTTTATAACATGTATAATATCCTAATTAAATGTACAGTATTATCATTTTGCATCCCAATAAGTTACTATTTAAGTAAGAAAACCACATATAAAACATACTCCCTTATATTAGTACATATCTCATAGTAGTTATGTCCAGTGCTCTGTCTTTAGAGGTCGTGTTTTGTTTACAATTGTTTCTTGTTTTCAGTAATTTAAAACCTCGTTTAACCAAATAAAACGTTTTAATCACAACTTATAACACGTACCCTAGTTATATAACCAAACAGTAAAGAACAAATCATGAAGTTAACTATAAAATAATAGAAACACAATTTCGTCGACACTAGCGATCAGTTTCACCGGACATGAACTAGACACGAAAAACGAGCTTCAAAGTTTACAATAGGATGTAAAGTTTACTTGTGTTGGTTAGTCTATGGTAAGACTATAATGCATTTTCTACCCTAATAACCATAAGAATAATATTAAATATACTTAAACATATTAAATATATTTATTTTATCGGCTACGTTGCTCTTACTCCTAATTATTCGTAGGATACGACATTATGGTACCGATACGATATAGGTACTACACTTTCGGCAACACTGGCCAAAAATCTTCGTGCTTGGCTCCTATTGGACGGCCCGCGAGGCTTCTGATTGGGAGTTAGCGAGTTCCGCCGAGGGACCGAGTTAGCGACTTCCGTACGAGGACGGAATTCGCTAACCCGGCTCTAGAGCGGGTTAGCGGGTTCCGGAGTTAGCCAATTCCGAAACCGAACAAGTTAGCGAGTTCCTCTCATCGACCAAATTTGAAGATAGGGCGTTTAACATGGGGTTAGCGAGTTCCAGAGTTAGCCAATTCCGCGGACCCACCTAAAATACAGTTCCAAAAGGGTATCATTGATTTTTCCAGATTCAACGCTTATAAATTTCAGAAAAAAGGCTTTTCACACATGCTGTGCTCAAAATTCAGCAATGTTTTGTAATGTTGGCCTACAGACACAAGCATTCAGTAGAACACGGACAGAATGCAGTAGAGCTGTAGTCAACAAGACATCTATGCAAATTTCTTTGTAATTAATTATTTAAAATGCCACAACTGTCCTCCATATGACATAACAAACTGCAACTGTTTTTTCAGAAATTTCCAAAAGAAGAAAAGACCAAATGTGAATCTGCGCGTCCTCTAAGGTTAGTTACTGAGAAGTAAGATCTAGAGGAAATAAGCAGGTGGAAATGCATTTGTGACTAGCAAGGAAGAGCACAAACGGCGAGCACTGTGCAGAAATTCCTATCGCACAGCGCTCAGGTTCTTTCCCCACTGCAAGCGTTGTAGTACATTCTGGCGAGGGGGGCGGTATGGAACTTTGCCCGAGACACCAACACTAGCACTAGACACCACTTAAGTGTATTCTCTGTTTCTTACTTCTCTGTGGGTTAGTAGAGTCACATGTTACAGTTAAATATCAAACATCTGAGATCCAAACAAAAGAAGTTAAATTATTAATATTACTTGCTGACGTATGGTGTCATAATATTGACTATTCATCATGCTGTACATGCATCACATCATGCTTTGAGCCTGTCACCGTTCATCAGCAGAAGTGTGGATGATTTTGAAATGCACATAATTCATTATTTGTCAGATTTACAAAAGCAAATAACATTTTTGCATGATTTTAGCGAATTTCCCATATAGGGAATAAGCTATTACCGTAGTACTCATGGTAAGACCTGGACGCGGGACCGTTTTTTTTTTTCATTTTGAGGTCCCTAGAGGCCAAAAACACCATCCGTTCAAATTCATATATATATATATATATATATATATGTGTGTCCGTCAGCACGATAACTCGAGCAAAAATGATCCGATTTTGATGAAATTTGGTACAAACGTACGTTTATTCGAACGAGTTCGCGATCCAGCATGATCGGACCATGGGAACGGGGGTTTACGGGGGGTTTTATGGGGTAAAAATAGGTTTTTCCCATTTTTGACCCAAAAAACATAAAATTTAGCAATTTCTTTCCAAACCATTTTGTAGAGCTTAAAAAAACAAATAATTTAGTATATTGAAGCGTTATTATGCGCCTAATGGTTACGGAGAAAATTCCAAAAAATTGTAAATTTAAAATTCCCATGTTATTCTTATGGAGAATAAGTAAACTGTTGTAGTTTGCTTGTTTGTGAACATATTTTGATCAAATTTGGAAAATGTTTTTATTTCTTACTAACTATTCACATTTTACAAAAAAAAAAAACAGTTTTACCCTCCCTGATGCAGCAAACCTAAGTACTTGTTAAACTAATTCTATTTAAATCAAGAATAAATGTTATATTTTTAAGTAGACATTTCAGTATAAATCCAATCAGTCAAATGGAAATTCGCTTAGTCTGCAGGTTTGCTGCGGCGGGGGTATTATATTTTAGGATCTTCAACGGTTGAGTACCTAACATCCAACCATTGAAGAATCCATTTTCAGATCTTTAACACTCTACTACGAGGGTGGTTTTTTAAGCAAGGGCCGTTTTTGCGTATAGCTCTGTAGTTTGCGTGTACGCTGCAAAGAGGCTCCTCACTCCTTCCTGGCTTCATTGTGAACAGAATGACATCATTTGCAGCTCTGTAGCTAACGTGTATGCTTTGCTGTTTTTGAAATTTTTAGATTATTGAATCTCCTGCAGCATGTGATATAAGGTCAGTGATACGTTTTTTACCACAAGAAACTTATTCTAAAAATATTCATCACCAAATCACTGAAGGTTTAGGCCCTAATGCAATAAGTGAGGGAAACGTGTGGAAATTGGTTATGGAGTGTAAAAATGGTCGTGAAAACACTTTTTCCTTTGTGATCTTCTGTGATAAGTCTAGGCACCCACCAAAACCCCAATTCCTACCAAAATAAACATTTTCTCGGCCCTCACTTAAAAAACTACCCTTGTAGTGTTGGTTCAAGTTAGTAATTATTAGAATCTAAAACTTAACCTCTTAGGTGCTACTAGGCTAATATCATATGCTTTATGTTTTAAATGTATCTATTTACATTTTACAATTTACTTTGTATTTTCCTCCCTAGTGCCAAAGCAGAGCCCAAAAATGTTCAGCTCATCTGCCTTAGAGAAGATGACCGTCCTACACCCAGCACTGCTGCTGCTGACCCATTAGGTTAGTAGACAAGTGTTGTTTAGTGTAATTGATAATAAGTTTTACATTAGTTACACAACAGGTTGACTGCTAACTTTTCATGTTGTTGCAGCTGTAATCCACAGTGAGATCGAAGATACTAAAACAACATTAACGATAGATGCACAAGAAAAAGTAGAAGCCGACGAATTTCATAAAAAGATGAATGAATATCGGCAAACAAAACCGCACTATAAAGACGGAAAAGCCCTAACGATTGTTGACAGGTACGGTAGTTGGTCATTTATTGTGTTAAATCTTTAGAGGTAAAAATTGTTATCAACAATAGAAACAACAATAACTATCACGTTTTTTTTTCAGGTTGGCAAATCACATTCTCGCAGAAATTGTTATGGATTTTCAAAAAGAAGAAATAAACAATGTTATACAAATGTTGTACAAATTGGAATTTCAATAAAATATTTAGATTGGAACCATATGGAAATCAAACATTAAATTAGACTGATGTACTGATAATAGGATAAAATTATATACTCTATCATTTGTTTGTCTTTAATTTAATTTGTTGGTTATGTATTGTAGGAATTGCTGGTCATTGATTTTTTTTAACATTACCAAATTAAATTATTAACACCTTTCATCTGTTAATGTATGCCCCGGAAAGATAGGTGATGAACACTTAATACAAGTTTGTACCTAACTACCTCCTTTGAAAGTAGCTCTGAAACCAGAGAGAACGGTCTTAAGCGATATGAATATGAACCAGTGGCGGATTATGACCTCAGCACACTGTAACCAAAACACATGTTAACTTGGCCCCCCCCCCTCCCATGGGCGTAATTTCAGTCTTTTAACTGGGGTGGCAAGATCTAACGGGGGGGGGGGGGTCTGGGTGTCCTCCCCCAGGAAATTTTAATAGACTGGATTTAAATTTGATAGTTTTTATGCTTTTTCAAACTATTTTTACAAATTTTTTTTCTGTCTGCATCCCCCTGAGACCTGCTGCCCCTAGGCTGTTGCCTATCGTGCGTAATGGGTAATCCGCCACTGATATGAACCTTGGTTAGCCAATGTCTTAGTCAATGTTCTTTGGGTTGGGTTTATCTTGTAGTTTCTAAAACTTTCTTTTAGGGTTGTGAGGCTTCTACATGCCTTCTCACCTTTGTTCATCTGAATGAAAGGGCAATATCATTTCCTTGATATACAAGTTTACTACAAAAGTTGATTCATATGTTTGTCGGCTGAGTGAAATCCGAACAACAGAGGAGTCGTGACCAACCTTCGTGAGAGAACATCTGAAGACTAAAAGCTGCGCTCTCTGTTTCCCAAATATGCTTTACTTTTATCCGTTTAAAATGCATGGACTGGAATCAGTTAATTAAACTTAAACCCTTTTCTCCAGACAGTACCAAAACTAATTATCAAATATAGTGCTGTAAAACACAGTAGGCCTACAATGCAATATATATATCACAAAAACACCAATAGCACATTGCTAATTTAGTTTTTATCGCATGTAAAGTAGGCCAGATGTAATATAGGCTTACATTTTAAGAGTGGACTCTTCCCATTGACTTAATTGCAAAAGATTATGTAATTTCTGAGTTTCACACGGAAATTATGAACACGATTAGTAAACTGTGGTGCAAGAAATCTCCACAAAGAAAGAGGTCAGCTCTTTAGGCCTTGACTTACAAAATATAAGATACAATGTTAAAAGCACTATTCCCCAACTTAGACAAAATTATTCTAGGCTCTATTGGTTCACCCAACTAAGTTAGATTTTGAAAAACAGTTCTTTTAACTTAGCGTATCAAATGCCTTACTTACAGGAAAATGATAATTCATAAACCATTTCCTAATTCTAGAATAAGGGCAATGAAATAAACAATACATTTTCACAAATAAAGTGTATTTATACAAATTATAATGTTTCTTCTTCAAATAAAAAAAATATTCAAATTTATCGCAACTTCATTTTCAATACTGTGTCTTCGTTAAGGATAGTTACCTACATTACAAAAGAAGTTTATTCAAAATATCGTTTGTGTTAGAAACAATTTCATCATAAGGAGCGTGTTCTGCAGCTAGAACCGCACTTGCAATAGCAATAGTTGTCTTCACATTTTTAGCTTTTACCCATACTTTGCCGTTCATACCAATAGCAATTTCATATGCAACTTCTTTTCCCAGATACTTCAACAAAAGACATTTAGGATTAAGAATTTTTCTTATTAGATTAAGACTACATATAAACAGAAATCCATCTGGATCTATGACTCCCATTTTACCTTTCTTGCCAGTAGAATCTATACACACTAACTCTGGTTCCATGTCCTTACTTGCACTAAGAACAGTTGCATACAGAGTGTCTCCAACATTTAAGTTAGGTCTATTTTTCTTGGTAGCGCCTTCAAAAGCCAAATAGTGTAGCGAAGCCTGTTCACTGCCTCCTATGTCAACTTTGAAAAAGTCACCTGCTTTGCTTGATACAATTCCTACAACTGCTTCTCCTCGAACTGGAATGTATCGCTTTTGGTGAGAATCGACATAGAATGTCTGGTTAATCTTCTTCAATAATCCACTCTTGCAAACAATTACTTGTTCAGCACATCTTCTAAGTCCGGGTCCTAATATAACTCTTGATTTATCATCTAAACCAGTAATACCTCCTACCACATCTCCAGGTACAACAACATCATTAACGCAAACTATCATTTTCAGAGGCTGGGTTAAATCTTTAGTTGTGGTGATAGTGTAATCTCAAACTTACGAATTATTCATATTTTCAAGCAAACTTAGCTCAAAACCATTTTCTCCAACAATATTATTTTCTTAGTTAAGGCCTAGCCTTGCTGATGTAGCAATTTTTATAAATTTTACTAGTTCAGTTTATCAGTAGATTTATTATTGATATATTTCCTCTTTAGTGAATAGTTTAGACATATTATTCGATATAATAACACATTTTTCATGAAATAATATTATATTTAAATACATTTTTACTTACAATAAGTACTATAACCTCAACTAGCAACACGTTTCTTTTACATTTTTTCATTTTTTAACATAACAACAACAAAACAACCGTTAGGTTAGTTACATCATCAACGTATTTTTTTTGTTGGATGGCTTCTAGTTAAACCATGCAACTGCATAGCTAACAAATCATAAACTGTTGGGATTATCATATCATTCCGAATCACTTTACTTCCAAATACTTTTTAGTACAGATTACAGAATAATATAATACCAAGCGATGAGAACTCTTAAAACCAAATAAACTAGGAATCGTCATAGATAAAACCATGGACTAGATATACCTAAAGGTATCTGGTATATATACCTGTAGGTATATTGTATATCTGTAGCCCTGGGTATGTATAGTCAATGATAAAACATACTCCTTGAGGTGTGAATGGTAGTCCTGCCTGGTGGAAAATTCATTTAAATTAGATTTTTGTATTTAAGAACGGCATAAGTGTATAAATTTACGATTGTACATATATGTGAAGTCTGGTGAAAAGTGGTTTGAAGTGCTCCCTATATACAGTCGACGCAATGAGACCCACCCTAAAAAATCGATGTTAAAGCTTTGATTATATATCTCCCCAAGGGGCTGAGAGGGAACATTTATAATCAATGTTTAAAGCGTCACTAACAGGTGGAACTTTCCTGTCGTTAGTTGATAGCGCCTCTGAATGAAAAACAACTGTTTTAGAGAATTTCCTATATAGGGAATAAGCTATTACCGTAGGTCTAATGATAAGACCTAGACCCGGGACCGATTTACTTTTTCATTTTGAGGTCCCCATAGGCCAAAAACACCATCCGTTCAAATTCATATATATATATATATATATATATATTGATATATATATAAATATATTTATATATGTGTCCGTTAGCACGATAACTCGAGCAAAAACGATCCAATTTAGATGAAATTTGGTACAAACGTTTAAACCTACGTTTATTCGAACGAGTTCGCGAACCAGCATAATCGGACTATGGCAACAGGGGTTTATGGGGTAAAAAATGATTTTTCCCATTTTTTACCCTAAAAACTTTAAATTTCGAAATTTATCTCTATACCATTTTGAAGAGCTTCAAAAAACAAATAATTTAGTATACTGAAGTGTTTTTAAATGTTCATTGACTACGAAGAAAATTAAAAAGATTGTAAATTTAAAATTCCCATGTTATTCTTATGGAGAATAAATAAACTGTTGTAGTTTGCTTGTTTATGGATATATTTTAATCTAATTTGGCAATTTGGTTTATTTCATACTAAGCTATCAATATTTCAATAAAAAAAACACACCTCAATATCTTCCCCGTAGCAGCAAACCTAACTACTCACTAAAATTAATGTTATATAAATAGGAAATAAATCTGAAAATTTATAAGGAATATTTTAGTAGAAATCAAGCCGGGTAAATGGAAATTCGCTTATTATGCAGGTTTGCTGCAACGGGGGTATTTTTCTTTCTTAGCTCTTCTTCTTATCCCCTCCTCTCGTTCTTATGTTTGCGTTATGTTGGTTTGCTTGTTTTTGTTTATGTTTGCTACGGTACTGCTTCTGCTAGACTAGCACTAGCATAGAGTTAGTAGAATATAAGGCTTTGTTTGGTATTTTTTATTTTTATCATCGTAATTTATTATCAGGAGGTGTATCATGGTGTTTTTGGATGACCTTAACATACATACTTTGGTGCTTTTATGACCCCATCGTAATTTTATAGTTAGGCTATGTGAACATTTGTTGTAGAAAAGATAGTCAACTAGGCTACAATGAAGAAAGAGAAGACTGCTGACAACTCCAGGCCATTTAAATTATAAGTATTTTAGATTTATAGTTGTATACATTTCAGCTAAGCTTTTATTTTTCAATATTACGATGGACACGGATATCAAAATTTTTCTTTCTTAAGTTACATCTTGAATCATGTTCAATTGGATTCTCTAGGTCTATATAACTTAACCACAGAAAAAATACTACTATAACTCAGAATGCTAACCGCTTGGTAAAAAGCGTTAAGTACTCGGAGAGAGCTTTCGTAGGCAGTGCCACCAGCGTTGCTATGCTGGAGCATTGTATGCTGGTGGCGCTGCCTACGAATTGACAGGCAAAGCTCTCTCCGAGTACTTAACACTTTTTACCATCTAGGGTTAGCATTCTGGGTTATAGTAGGCTAGTATGTTTTCTGTGATAGGCCTAAGAATATAACTTAATTAAGCCTAGTACATTAGGCCTAGATCTACACTGGTCATATCTTTGAAATCTGACTCCATCGCAATATTGAACCAAACCAATCTGTTATTTTAATCATATCAGTCTATGATGACTACACTAGACCCTAAGATAATCATATCATATAGGGCTAATGTTTTCATTCATAGAGGTAGGTAGGGCTAAGTTAGCTTATTAGGCCTAGTGAAAATATTGTTCGAAGAAATTAACTTAGGCCTAGGCTACGGTAAGTTTGTCTAAGTTTATCTAACCCAACCCAATCTCATCATGGTAAGGTAACCAATGCACAGTAAAATTCTGGGTTAATTTGAACTTTCTGGACTTTTTTAAACCTTCCTTAAACATTCGTATGATCCTAATGAACAATAAACTACTTAAAAAAATGTTATAAGGTTTACACACTGACAATTGCAAAAATATGCAGCTAACTACTTTCTCAAGTCGCGGATGACAGCACACGTCAAGGAAGAAGGGAGTGGAGCAAGGCCCCACTAGAAATCAGGCCATGCTGCAGCGCAACACTACGTCACAGTGGTGGGTAGTTGTAATAAAACCTTACCATTAAAATCTGACAAACCGCCAGCTTATTTACTTAAAACACATGGGCTATGGCTGTGAATCTTTCCACTAATGTGACGTCATGAATCCTGCAGCATGGCCTGTTTTTGTAGTGGGGCCTTGAGTGGAGTGATAAGGATCTACTTTGGGCCCCTAGAATGGTTTTTGTTACCTGCTGATCATTATTTAATTATGATTGTTTATGTTGATGTTGATTTCATTAATGAATCTGTTCTAAACAAACAAAACCTAACCAAACTTGCTGTATGATTTTGTAAATCGGTTTTATAAGAAAAAAGACATTTGGGAAAGGCAGGCCGGGGTTTACGGGGAATCATGGGCATTTAGTGTTTTGAAGTTACAGTAGGTTAGGTACCTAAAGTGTAGGTTAATGGTACCTTAATATAGTTATTTAGTGATGTTACACCCATATTTTTTTATCTTTTGGAATAGATGGTTAAATGCCGAGACAATTTAAAAAATGACCTGCCTTCCCCACATACCTTAATTAGATCAGTGTTCAATCTGTATTTCAAATAACTGTTGGTTATTTCATTTGTGCTTATCATTGATACAGTTCATAACATAGGCTAGTTAAACAAAATTCCTGCGAGATATTATCGGATTAAATATCAATTTAGATTCGGTTTCATATATAAGTTATGTAACTTAAACGTCAAATTAAGTTGTGATCTTTTTACGCTTGTATTAAGTAGGCCTAGGCCTATAGTAAATGAAACTAGACTATCAATATTTATCTTAAAACAAAATATATATTTATGAAATAAAACAAGCCTAAACAAATAAAAACAAAAAAACCAACAATCCAGGGAATGAGGGAATTATACCATTAAAGTAGATCCGTATCACCCTACTGTTCTTTTTTAATAAAACAAAAATGGTAACAGCATACATACATACATACATACATACATACATACAGGTTCCTCTTCTCCGTAGTCTTGAAGACCAGGGAATTGTCAAATCTTGAGGTTAGGGTAGGTGTGTTTGTGTGTGTGTGTGGTTGTGTATGTGTGTGTGTGTGGGTGAGTTCATTTGTTGAGATGTTTGTGGTCGTCAAAGAAATCTTTTAGGGTGTAGTATGGTCTTTCAATCAGGTATTCTTTTAATTTTCTTGTGAAGGTTGTTGTGTTGGCTATTTGTTTTAGGTAATCAGGGAGGGCATTGAAAATTTTTGATCCAGCAATTTGGGGGGTTTTACTAGTTTTAGTTAGCCTGTGTTGTTGTATGTCGAAATTTAGATCTGTGTTCCTAAGTTTATATTTATGGCAGTCTCCTCTGGTTTTTGGGGGGTTTAGTTTGAGAATTTTGGTGGTTTCTAGGATATAGATGGATGTGATGGTTAGGATCCGGTTGGAAGTAAAGTAGGGTTTGCAGTCTGTTGATGGTTGAAGGCATTCTATCGTCCTTATGGCTTTTTCTTGGAGCGATATTAGCTTATTTATTTGTGTGATTGAGGCAGATCCCCAGGCGATAATGCCAAGCCTAATATGGCATTCAAAAAGGGCGAAGTAGGCAATTTTGGTAGTTTTCTTGTTGGTGATGGACCTTATTCTTCGAATTGCAAAAAGAGATGATGAGAGTTTGCTGTCCAGTGAGGATATGTGGTCATGCCAATTTAAATTGCTGTCGATGGTAATGCCAAGGAATTTAGTTGTTGTGGCTGAGGCTATGGGTTCTGATTTGCTTGGGTTGGCAGGGGGTAGTGTGTTGGCTCGGTTGATTGTTGAAAAATTTACGTTGATGGTTTTGGATTTGTTGATTTGTAGGTTTAATGTGGAGCAGATGTCGGTAGCCAGTTTGAGGGTCTATCCAGTGGTTGAGTTCTCATTTTGAGGAGAAGTTGGAGATAAAATGGTGGTGTCATCAGCATACATTATGATGGTCTTGTCCATGGGTAGAAAGTCCGGGAAAGAGTTTATATAAATAATGAAGAAAAGGGGTCCAAGGATGGAGCCTTGGGGAATTCCTTGTATTGTTGTTGTGAGGGTGGATCTTGTTTTAATTTTGAAGGATTTTTGTTGGTGTTCAATTTCGACTTGTTGGTTTCGATCTGAGAAATAGCTGATAATCCATTTAAGAGCCAGGTTATCGATGTTGAGTTGTCTTAATTTGTTTATTAGTATGGTCCTGTCAAGGCTGTCGAACGCTTTCTGGAGGTCCAGAAAGATTCCTGATACTGAGTGTTTTTGTTCCCAGTGAGAAGCGATGCTTTCACATAGTTGGT